ATTCTTCCACCTGTCTCCCATCGGACTGCCATCAGTCACTTCTTATGCAAATGCTGTTGGCCGGCATCCTGCACCCCCTCACATACGTGGGGGAAACTTTACTAAAAAGAAATGATAACTTCGACGCTAGAATACCCTACGAAATCTTCAGAAAGAGAGTGAATACCGAGGGAATAGTGTATCCCTGGGGATACTTTTCTTAAACTATTATACATAGGGTCCTATGGATAAGAATATATTACTCTAACCCTCTGTTTAAAACGCAAAGGCAAGATAATAGTGCCCAAAATAAGAAACTTTAGCCAAAATAATTTACTTTAGCAAGATTTACCGACAGGTTTTACAAATACAATACCCTTCGTGGCCAGGAATAAATAGCGCTTGCTCTCTTATTCAAAATGGCTCCCCAAAGGGAAGTTCCTTGCCTTGGCATAAGGGCAAAATAAATGTCGAAAACTGAGACGTGGGGTCACGTGCGTGAAAAGTTGTGTGTTTGTCTGACGGCGGCGGCGGTCTCTGCGGCGGCAACTTCCCCAGTTCACAGTGCTCCGGCAGCATATATTCAAATGCATATTGATTCTGCGGTCCATCAGCTGTCACTGCTCCCCGGATAGCCGACCCTGGGCTCCGTGTTTACAAGTGCCGCAATCATGATATGCATCAGCAAACGAGGCACCAGCCATGCGTCCACCTGATGGCACCAGCCACCAAAAGACAAGGAGTCGTTGCGAGGGGAGGCGAGCGGGAGCGAACCAGGACCAGGACCCACACAACACATCTACACACTCGGGGCTGCCAGGAGGCCAAAGCTAAACATATCCCCAGCCAAGTAGACAAAAGCTGGAAAAATTTGCATACTTCCCTGGTCGCTGAGTGAGTTTCTCTCCCGTTTCTCGTCTCGTTTTGCACTTTCCAGGTCCTTGCTTTCTCCTTGCCATTCCCCAAATTGCGGGCCATTTCGAACCTAAATGGTAAATAGACCTTTCGGTTTGATAATGACAACCAATACATGCTCAGGCCACAGGAAATCAAAGCACCAACCAAGTCTCTGACGAATCCTGACACATCCTAAAGTTTTTAGGAGGGATTGTTGAGAGTATTGGCTTGAAATTTAAATTCATGTTTCATGACGACTTCAAATGATTTTTGAAATATTAACACCTGTCTGTCGGGTCGAAGTTTGTGTGCTTCATTCGATATTTATTATTTTTTTCTGATTATTTCACCATTAAAGTCGTACATATTCTTTATCAACATAACCGAGAATACATTTCTGAAAAGAAATGAAGTTCTGTCGGAATTTCTAGATTCCCAAACACAAAATGCTTTTCTAAATGGTTTATCAAACAGCCTCACCCCCTATCAACTTAAGCTTCATTAATTTCCTGCCTGAATTCCCTCAATGGGTTTTCCCCCCCCTGTTAATTGCTGGCTCAACTCTTTTCCCAGCGCAGGACCAAATTTGCTGCTGTTTTGCTTGTCTGCAAGGAAAAAAAGGGGGAAAACAGAGTAGAAATTTGCATGAAACAACACAGTAGCAGTTCGAATCCTGGAACGTGCGTTGCGATAAATCAAAAATCTGCAGCGAAGGCAGCGGTCTCATCCTAGCCATTCTGGTTTGCTCCTTTCAGGAGGCGAAGAAGGGAAATGCATTGGCCATGCAAACACGATGATTGTGTAAACAGCAGTGAGGAGCAGCACCGAAGACTGCCGTCGTGGAGTTTGGTGGTGGTGGTGCTGTTTTGCGCACAACAATGAAATTGAATTTCAATGCCATCTCCCCCCCCTATTGTTGTCAGCGTTGGCAATAATTGTTGGGCTCTCAGCTTGACGGTGGCATGTGTGTGCTGCATATACTTGAGACTGGCATTGCATTCCGCGCTCCCTTGCCATTGTTGTATAAGCGATTTCTGCTTTTTTACCAATCCCGAAACAACAGGGAAAACAGTCGCTGCCTGGAAACCATTATCGCCGCCACCATCACCACCAGCCAAGCAGCAACAACGACTCCCCAAACCTTGTCCCCAATTCCCATTTGCAGTTGCCATTGCAGTTGGCATACGTGTAAATCGTAAATTTCCGTCCGCAAAACGAATGGTAACCGGACAGCGGAGGAGTCGTCGCTGCCGGAATGGGAACAGGAAGAGGGGCAGGAGCAGCAGCAGGAGCCGGAGGAGGCGAAGTCACATCCCAGCCCCGGTCGCTGGGCAATAGCTCATTGTGGACAGGGACAGCGGCAACAGAAAACAAAAGTCACTTGCCCGGTAATGGAATAAATATCCGTGAGGAGCATCCCTCTGTGCTGGCTCCCATATGAGGATTGTCCAACATTTTGCGGCTATTTATGGGTCCAACTTTATGGCTGGCAATTGAAAATGAAGCCAGGGAATCATGCATAGCAGGGAGATTTATTTTTGGTAAAGATAAAATTTTCATTTTGTTATGCAGACGAATTTTTGCGGGTATATGGTTTATCTCATACCAAAAGCACCTTAAATAGGGAAAAACTAGGATTAAATAAAGCAAATTTGGAAGGAACCATGTCACAATATATAGTAAGTCATATAAAAACAGCTCTTAACGAGGTAAGATACAAGTGACGATTGCACCTTCAACATCAAAACGCTCTTATATTAACTTTTATTAAATAATTTGCAAAGCAGATTTTCCATTCCTGGTGTGTATATAGAAGTCGCCTAGCGCACACTTTCGGTGCTCATCGTCACTACTTTCCGTTTAGATTTTCTATATTTCCGATTTCTCTACTGATTTCCCGTAAATTGGTATTCAGAAATCCCATTCCAACGCTTCAGAGCACAAGCAATCCCAGCTCCCCGCCTTTTTGTATATTTTGCATATTTGTCGCATTGACGTTGACCAGCTGTGAGCTGGGGACATCCGGGGGACACCTCTCCGCACCTTTTGCACTCACCTTTCTCAGTCCGCTGCCCCCTTCGATTGAGTTGAGAAGGAAATGCGAGACAAGGAATCTTTTATGACATTGCATCCACCGACCCGGAGTGGTTGCTGTCTTTTATTGTCAGCGGTGTATAATTTTCGCACTGCTCGTAAGGATGCTGCTTGTGCTACTCGGCAACCGCCAGCGGGTCCTCCATCACCCCTATCTCCCCTGATTTGATTGCACTGGGCTTTGGTTGCTGGTTGGGTTGGTTTTCTCCTGCTCCTCCTCAGCTTTTTGATTATGTTGCAGCATTTTTGCATCATAAAACTCATAAATATTTATGAGCGTGATGTATAAACATGAAATGAACGTAAATCCACAGTTTTTCCTTCCTTTTCCAGGCATTTAAAGCAAAGTCAATTGATACGGGCCAGAGTGTAGGTTGGATTTAGGCGAATGAAGAAATATTTGTGGAATGAAAGGCGAAATAAAATCGTTTTAGCCGCTCAGAGAATTTGATTGCTTTAAATGTGAATTTAAACGAAATATTTTGGGATTCCAAAAGCCATTTCGCTCGCCATCAACTGCCAAAAAATCTGTCGAAAATAAATTAAAAACATTGGAAAACTAAAAACTAGTTAACAATATTCCCCTCACACGGCAACAATTTCAATTTTGCGTCCGATGTGTGTGCAAAGCTAACAAAAAACTGAGATTAGGTGGCACTTGGCTTTGGCATACGAGATGTGTGGTGAATGTCCTCAGAAAATAGCCGATTTTTTTCCGATCAAATATGTTTTGATTGGCAGACATTTAGTTGGCAGTTAGTTTTCCCATTTGGGTCAAAGTTTTGCCAGTCAGAATGGCAATTTAATTAGTTTAAAATAAGTTGATGATGTGGCACAAATCTCTGCGATAACTTGTTAAACAAAATATTTTAAAATTTGTAAGGTTGCAAGTTTTAATTACACTTTTTAAGAAAACTTTGGTGGTGGAATCCATTAAAGATTATAAGAAATAATGGCTTTAAAGAAACTTATTAGATACGAATCTTAAGATTTATAGGTTCCCCGTTTTGCATACCTGATATTCCTTAGATATTCCCAAGGACTTAACATTTACACATGTTAACCTTTAATTAAATTTCTTAACATACACGGCGTATACGTGATGCCAAGAACTGTTGCCTATTTTCAGGATCCGTTTAAATCTTGAATGTCCGGAATTCAAGCTAAAATGCGTCGAGACAAGTGATGTATTTAAACATAACATGCAACAGCATGCTCGTGTCTCAAAATTTTTGAAACTTTGCCGAGTTCCTGGCTTTGTTTCGCTCAACTCTTGGCTGGATTTCGGGGATTGTCGGAAACTTGTCTTCACTTTTGACTTGTTATTTGTGCGAAAGGAGCAACGCCAGCGCCTGCAGCAACTACAACAAATGACTCATTTTCCACGCACTTCATTCTCCTGTTGGGAAAGTTTTCGCCAGTCTGCAAAAACCAAACAATGCCAGTGTAGGGGCGGAGGACGTGCAATCAAAGTCGCTTCCAGCTCAGACTTCCTGCTGCATATACATATATAGTCGTCGTAGTTTTGCATTTCATATAGCTCGGTTATTTATCATAAATTTGACTGCGCAATGGCATTGCTTTGATACGGCTTCCTCTGTCACTTCCTCCCTTATCTCTCTCGCCATCGCCTTGATTCATAAATTATTTCATATTTCATTTCCTCTGCGTGATGCAACAAAACACAAATGCTAAAAAAATAAGTGCACACTGAGGAGCCCTGAGATACTGGGAAACTCACAGTGTTCGCTCCTCGGAAGGACTCAATTCCACAGTGTCTCTACCCCACGGCGATGCAATAAAATGTCTGTTTCTGCTGATTCCGCCGCTCCCTCATCTCCCTTTTTTGTCCAAGCTTTGGCCAAAGTAAACATAATAATAATACCAGCTGCAGCTTGAATTATCCTCATCAAGACTCTTTAACATGTCTGCATAAAACCACAAATGGAAAGTTATGAATATTGGGCAAACTATAAAATTTATAGCTATGTTTGCGATATGTTGAGAAACAAAATTCAACAGAATGGATCTTCGTTGATTACATAATTTTTATAACTTATTATTCACGAATCAAATATCCGCCACAATACTATTGTTTATATTACAATGCTTATCCGCAAACACATTACACACATTCAGTGTCATCTTTTTTAACAACAAATAATCGATTTAAACAATTGCCTTGCCACTTTCGCAGTGAAACCAAAAATCGGTGTAGCAGACCGATTTGGTTTTCCAATAGACATCCTTCACGGTTTGAGGCACGTCATCCGGCCTGCCAGTCGGCATAAAGAACCAAAACTCATAGGTGGGATTGTACGAGAGCACTTTGCGTTCCATACCTGCGGAGCTTAAATGTTTCGTAATTAATCAAGGTGGTCCTGCGTTGGATACCGTTGGCAGTTACCTTTGCTGGCTAGTCGGCAGGAGGAGGATAATTGCAATTATTATTGTAGCCGCTTTCATGTCTTGGGTGTCGAGCTGCCTGATTTCGAATGTGAGTTATTTGTGCTTCCAGCTGCTATTATTTACGAGCCACTCGAGGTCAGCACCTCGCGGGTGCGATAAGCACGCGTGAAGTGGAATGGCAGTTGCACAGCGAACAAAATAAAATCAAATAAAGAGCAGCATGCAATGCCAAGCCAAAATGGATATGGAGCCAACCAGCATGTTTTGGCCAAAACTGCTGAAGGATGCAGCAGTAAAAAAAAGGTGGGGGTCGACCCCAGTTTCACACATTTTTAGGAGTTCCTATTATATACATACATAGTGGCAGGGTATGCAGCTGTCGTGCCAGCCAACAGCACGTATGAGCAATATCTAGCGTCACCTGCCTTTTGTTTGTTTTCGTAGAAAGTTTCGACTTTGACAGCTTTTTGTCTCTCGTTCAGCACCCTTTTTTGTGTGCGAAAGAAAAGTCAAAATTTATTATACAAACACATTATGAGAGCTGGGAAAGAAGCCCTTGCTTCTTCCAGTCCGCAGTAGGATAAATAAATAAATAAGCAAAGGCACAGGCAGAGCCAGAAATGGGAGCAAGTCAAATAATGGCCAGGAAGGAAAGACAACGTCTAGGTGTATGAATGGGCAAACAATCGAGCCAAGACCAACAAGAAACCGAACAATAATAACAGCAATGCAATCGCAGATAATGGCAGGCGCATGTATTTTCAAAAAATTCCACAAGCAAATGTGTAGGAATATTTATCTGCCCAGCACTCGTAGTAGTAATAAAGTAAAGTGAGTCAATGCAGCTGGGCTTTCTCTCCGGCACACTTTTTTGTTGGGTTTACTTTAGTGTTAAAGCTACTCGGCAGGTGGCTGCCTTCTTTCTGCTCACAATGGGGAGCTGTCATTCGTCATGATTTGGTGCGGCCTTGCATGCAACGGCATAATAATCCAGGCGAACTGCCACGCCCCTTTACCCCACCACACACACAGATCCATCTCGCACGGCAGTCAACACTCATACGCCTCGTTGCACGGCCTGCTGCACGACTCGCTTCATTGTTGTGGCATATTGTTTCACATTCTGAGCGGCAACAGGCATGCACTGCGAGTAAAAATGCAATGCAAATCTAATTTAAGTATATAAACTACTCAAAATCCCTGATAACCCCCAAGAGACCGATATGATATTGTTTAGTAAGTTGCTAGAACAAATACCAAGGCTTCGATTCCATATTTCATGCTCTTCAGAGATCATTTTCCCAGTGGAGGAGAGCTAAGCGCATATCCAGCGAGTACATATATGCAAAAACGAGGAAACGTGCCCGGCATTTGGCCCCGACCGACCGTTGGCAGGACTCCGTCGAGGAGTTTTGAGATGCCGGGCTTCCAGCGATGTGGAGGTGGTATGTGTCGGGGCCGGCAACTGCCGAAAATAGTTGCATATAAAGTGCTTCGAATTTAATTAAATTATAATTGGACGCTGTGTGTGTGTGCAGCTGCTCTGATGGCCGGACAAAACGTAGTTTAGTTTTCAGTTTCAATTACAAGCAAAATCTCAATTAAGTAACATTGTGGCGTTCACTTATGATCGTTTACCAGACGGAAGCCCTTTGTTTTTGGGGTAGCACTACTCCTGTGTATGGGGTAATACGTTAAGTGCTCCGTCCGGCAGGCACCTCAACAACAACGAAAATAATAATAACAACAACAGGAAGAGAAAAACATATCCCCAAGGGGCACAAAACGCTTAGCAGATTAGCCGGGGCATTCTTCTGTTCTCTTTGATTAAAGTGCGAACGCTTAGCAGCCGAGAAGAGAACTGGCCGGGACAATGGCCAAGAGCCAAATCAAATCAGCTGCAAACACGAAACAAAACAGACCAGAAACAGGACTAAAATAAAAGCGTACAACAAACAAAAGGCAGGGACAAAAAAGTGCTGTGAGGAATGGGAGAAACGAAGAAAGAAAAAGGACAAATCCGTTGTTTTTCCGATTTTTTTGTGACATTTCAATCAGCATTTTCAAGCCACACACAAGCACATAAAAGAAAACGTTAAGGAAAATCGCATTATAGAAAAACATTTGACCATTTTTCATGTCCTGCCAAAACAAATGTCGTACGAAAATTGAATTGTGGCAAAAAGATGACAGAGCCAGAACAGGCCACGGCTGTAAACGCTCAAAGCTTAAATATCCGCATTAAATTGTATTTTTTCCACATCATGTCCGCGGCAGGCGAGCATGAAAGCTGTGCAAAAAATATGAATTAATAATATTATTAGTCAATTAAAAGGGAAAAGGCCACACAATTCGATTATAGGTTGCTGCTGCATAAATGTCAAAGCTCCGCCTGCGCGGCGGAAATTGTGTATTCCGTTCAGCTGATCCCATTTTCGGGCCAAATGAATTCATGCTCAAATGGCTTCCTTTTACTTATCCCGCTCCAATTTAATATTCAAATTCCTCTGACGGACCGCAGACAGGCCGAGCTCACCTTATCTGTCAGCCTCAGACCAGGTCTGTCTGGGTCCGGGCATTACCTATGATTTCGGGGACTTCCGCATAAAGTCCTATGTAAATCCAGACCTGGCATCATCAGCGGAAGTACATGAAAAACGACGTCCAGCGTCCGCGGAAATGCTTAGACCCCACCCGAGTTTCTGGCAAAAAATGGTGTTTCATTTAAATTTACGCCCCAACTTGAGTACAATAAAGGCAAATGTGAAACAGTTGCCTGCCCCGGCAAGTAAAATGTAAAGTCCAAAAGTCCACTTAACAAGAAAATTGTTTCCATGAGCTTTTCCTTCTCTTTTTTTCGTGCTTGCCCTATGCATTAAAACCATTTCCATGCCCTCGCTTATTATTAGCTCCGAAAGCGTGTGGGCGAAGGTAGCGCCATACGAAATACTTTGCACATTTTTATGACCGTGACAGTACGACCAAGGCGCCCAATGCTGGCAACTGCTGGGTCCGGTCCTCAGCCTCCACTTTTCCCATTTTCCCCGCCAGCCCAGCCTGCCACCGCCATTATGTCACACTCTCTTCTCACCCACACCGAGGCAGCCGAAACAATTTTCCCCCAGAGTTTATGAGCGTGAAAAAATGTTTACTGGTTAGAGCTTGAGCTCCCGCCAACATATTTTTTGTTGCCCTTCTTGCTTTTGCGGAATAAAGTTGCTATTTTATGCAGTACACAAAAAAAAGGGTAATTAAAAATGTTTTTTGTGGGCCAAGAACGAAGCATGTCTCAGCGAGATAAAGACTTTAAGTCAAAATTACTTCTAGAAGTGCATACTTCTGTGATCATTCATATTTTTTAGGTAATTTTACAGTGGAATTTATAATATATAGTTTAATCAGGTGGTGAATTCTATGATAAAAACAGAAATATATTGATTTGGCCTTTATCATTCGTTTCGAGTCATTTCAGTTCATTTACTTCCCCGCAGCCGTCACCAAAATTCTAGCCAGAGTCCAGGAACGATTAAACTTGTTTTTCAGATTCAGTTTCGGCATGGGGCTTCGGCCTTCGACTCGGTTTCGGGATCCGGCTTGGGTGGGATTTGGGTCTTTCTATTCGCATTAGGCATCATCAAGGTCCCCGCATTCGAATGCCCATTCACCGCATCCTCATCAGTTGCGCTTCATTGTGTTTTATTCGTTGCCGCTGTTATCGCATGTTAACACTTCATGGGAAGTCCTGGCCTGATGTCCTTCCTCATCATCATTGGAATGACCTTTCGTTTGTGGCAGCCCCGCACACGCTTAGTTAGTTTCTGCCACACGCTTTGCGTGCAAAATGTCAAAATACATTTTACTCGGATTTATGGTCATTGGCCGCCACCAGCTCCTCATCTCGCCACAGCCACAGCCGGAGCCAGGGCCACTCCCATTGCCCATCCTCATCATATATGCTTGTGGGATTTGTGCTTGTCTTTGGCTATTTTTGGGGATTTACACGCTTATCACACATACCCACACGGGGCCCTGGCCGAAATGAAAATATTATGCTACATTTCATTAAGGGAGCCACAGACACACATGCCCACGCGCTCAAGACACATCCCTACATCCTCGAATGCTTTACAGCCACTTAAAATAGATTAGCTTTCAACGTTTCGGGCTCTTAGGCAAAACAAAGCTGACTGAAAAAAGGCGAAACGGATGAAAGAAATAATAAATTGCACAACCATAATTCTTCCTGTGAGTTCGCCTCCGCAGAGGTAATAGAATATCCATTGAAAACACAAGCAACTGTCAATGATTTAATGCTCCCCCGAATCAGAAATAGTTATACGTGACAGGTCGCAGACGAAAAGCCCCAGACCGAATGACACTTGATAAATGAAATGACAAAATATTTGAAAGCCAACAAGCTCTCAATCACGGAGCAAGAAGCCCAGAAAATGTGGTCATGGCGATGGGAAGAGGAAAACGTCAAAAAGGTGCGGAAATTACTGTTGGCACTGCGAAATCACAGCCATCATAGGAGAGAACTTCCCTTTCTCGAAGCGAATCAATTTATTTCCCTTCTGCCAGCCAGACACATCCCAAGCCTTGGTCCTCAGTCCATAGTCCCAGCGATTATGGGCCTTGGCCGAGAGTGAGACCTACTCGAAGGGATCTGGATCCGCTCACTTGATGGCCAATTCAAACCCGTCCATATTTCATTTGCCATGGCTTCTTCAAAATTATAGCAGAACTGGGGCCCTTCGAGGACGACCCTTCGGCGCATTCCATCATCTCACATCAGCTCCGGCTGATGGCGGAAAAAGGCCAAACTAAAAATGCTCTTTCGCTCCATGTGGCCCCATCATCGCAATCTGTGTCCTGCTGTTGCCGCAGATCCTGCCGCTATTATTGTTCCTCCATCTTGCTGTTGTTGAGCGCTGGAAAAGGGGCAAAAATATTAGCTGCCTCTCTCAATCGTTCAACTAACAGGCTCGAAAAAAATGGAGGAAAAAGAGAAGGGTTCAGTTGGGGGGGGGAGGCTATACAAAAAATGTAAAATGGTTTATTTATGCAAATTGTCAACGGTTTTTGCTCTTGAAAAGATAGACGAACCGTGAGTCCCGGCCGCCTTTTAACCGAATTGCCTGCCAACGGAGTGCCGGAGCATTTGACAGTCCGTTTTTTCCGTCCCCCGAGAAGCGGATGAACCTTTAATTGAAATGTATCCAACGATTCACTCTTCCACCTTTGGCCATTGTTCGTGGGACCAATCCAAACATAGCCCTCGGCCAGCCATCGGGGAGAGCAAATGCAGAGCCCACAAAGGCAGGCCATGAAATATTTACACTGCCCGCTAATAGCGTGACTTGGCCTAAACACTTGTGTGTGAGTGTACAAACACACACACAGGTAGGGCCATTGCCTGGCGGGTTTTGGCATGCCAAAACTTCATAAATGTAATGCCCACAATTTACACAATTTTCATTGTAAATTTCACTCGCCACCGCAATTTCAGCTGCATATTTGTTTAAACGATAATCAAATGCAGAACCCAACCTACCCTCATTTATCACCTGCGCTCGGCCAGCCACTTTCGGTACACCTTTTTTTTTACCATTTCTACCATTTCCTCCTAGTTTTATCTTCCGAAAAGGAGGAGAGCGGACTAAACCCGCGGGGATTCTGGTTCCCTGTCCGAATGACAGTTTGACCGGCGCTTTGGACAGGGGTCACTCTCCCTATCTCCATCCTGGTATCCGTATGGGAATGGCCATTGTCAAAGCGGATGCTCCCAACATTTATAGCTAACCAATGACGGTCCAAACCATTAAATGCAGCGGAATGTGGCTTTCGAGTGTACTTAGCTGGCTCCGAAATAGATGCAAATAATTGCTGAATTAATGGCTAACAGCCGGCGGGATGTCTGCGCTTTTGGTTACAAAAATACCACATCAATTAATTGTACAGTGTTATTTGTATTAAATACATGGTTTTATTATGATTAAATCGTATTAACTGTTTTAATTAAAGTTGTTTATAAATATATTCAGTGAAAGGGGAAATCTCTTAAATTAAACAATTTAACATATTTTGCAGTAGAAACTTATTCGAAATTATGAATGGTCTAATAAATTACTGGAAAAAAACAATCTATTTAGTTTCTTTTTAAGCAAATTTATTATTTATATTATATTTTAACGTAACTCTGCTGTCGATATGTTTTAAGAAAATATAAAAGGCTTTGTAACTCGCTTCGCCAAGCCGTAGCTAATTGTTCCACAAACCGATTAGACTCGCTTGAAGACCCTAAATTGGACCATGCTTAGTCTCAGTTTTGTTTTGGGAAAACACGTCCAGCACCGGCACCGCACCCATTGCCCATGTTGGTTTCGCAAATACCCCTGGGTCTGCTATTCCTGCTCCTCCGGGGCTGCGTTGGTGCTCCGCTAAATGGACGTGGGTGAGCGAAAAGGAAAACAGAAGCCAGGAGCAGTTCCTAAGCAGCGTCCCCCGTTCGCTCCACAGCTTGCGGGGATCATGAGCAGCGCGCCTGCCTGCCATGCCACGAGCCCACCTGCTCCCATCCCTTCGTCAGTGAGCCGAATTGCCGCTTTTTGTACCTGTGCCACCTGGGATGCGGCTGCAGTTTCGGATTTTTGCGAGACGATGACACCAACCGCTGTGTGCCCAACCACCAATGCGACACCTCCCAGCGGCCCCTTCCGCTGCAACCGCCATTTAGGAAGTAAGATGCTTCTAGGGTGATACATTTTCCAGGAAAAGGAATGAAAATAACCAGGATAACCTCAAATTAAAGTGGATACACAATCTATCTCTTACTTTCAATGGGAGCTTGGTTAAAAATTTATAAATTGTTGTTTTATTGGATTAAAATTAATTGAAAAAGTGAGTTAAGCAAGCTGTAAAGGATGAGGCCAGGATATATGCCCCCAGCTTCCTCTGCCTTTGTCAATTTACATGCGACAAGAGTTTTACTGCCTCGTACTTTGTTGTGCTCGGTTCCTATTGCTATTTCATCCACTCGGTGGACGAGTCTCTTGCTTTTATGACAAAAGCACGAAATTGTATCTTGGGAATTCTATGTTTTTAGCAGCGAAAGTTTTATTGTTGATTTTTGCGGTGCTCGAGATTTACGACGCAGTCTGTGTGTCCTGACCCCATTTCAGAGGGAACTTTTCTCCGAATTTTTTTCCAGCTTTTCTCTCAGATTTTTATTTTCCTGAGCTGAGCTGCCGCGAGTTCATAAAGCATACAATCTTAAATCTCAGCACTCTCCTCTCCTCGCCGACGACCACATAAATATTAATTTGGCCGACATTACTTTGGGTCTTTTCGCGTGGCTTTCACTTTGGGCCCCCACTTTTGATATGCGACATTTGTTGTTTGCTTGCACTTTGGTTTATGAATGAAAATTATTGCTCTGCATTTTTATTTTTCAGCTCGTTTTTATTGCGACGAGCTCTTGTGGTGCTCATGCTGGAGTTAAATGGCTCCTTTGTTGACTTTAATGGCTATAATCTGCAGTAAAGTGATTGGCAGCCATAATAAATAGGGCAAAAGTAATGAACATTTTATTTCGACAAGCTGTTTTCACAATGGCTGTACATAAATCTGTAAATAACATATATATTTTTGATTTTATGTAAAAGAAACTGATGTATTTTAAGTTGAAGTCCTAGCCAACGAGCTTCATGAAAATTATTTATTAAATATTTTACTTTGCTATATATTATGTGGGTTGACTTTAACTCATTTGACAAGTATAGAATGCAAAAATCAGTCAATTAAGCAACCATTTTAATCCGAAAAATGTTAATCCTGCTGGAAGTGTAGATTATATATTATTTAATTAACAAAAAACTAAACATGACATGCTCTTTTCAAGAGAATGAAATCCCTGTTCAATTAGAAATTACATTACATTCACCTCCTAGAAATGCCCACCATTTTTCCTGCATATTTTATAATTGTCTAAATTTGATTCCCAAATGCAAATGGCCGAAAAGCATGCTATACATTTTTGCATTTCCGCTAAGCTGAATCAAATTTTAATACTTCCGCTGCGTGCGCCAGACTATGAGTGTGAGTGTGTGTTTATGTGCGCATAAATTTTTAACAAATTTAGCACAAAATGAGTATTATTATATTATTACACAAGACTGGACACACACACACACACATTTTCGGGAGGAGTTTTATGTGGAGGCATAAAAGCAATTAAAGCCCCGGCAAAGTGCTCAGATCCACGCTGGATGCTGCTGGCATACACAAAACTGTTATTATTTTTTTTATTGTTGTTGTTGCGGCTTCTGCCGGCCTTTTGGGCCAGAGTTTCATTTAAGTTTCGTCGTCGAAGCACCGAAAATAAAATTAAATTACCCATTAGTGGTGGATTTTCGTCTCATTTTTTCCCCCCGCCAAATTGTATTTAATGCGTATTTACGTGCTCCATATAAATTTATTATGTTTTAATTTATGGCGTGTCATTAAGCATTCCCCTCTCTCCCAATGTCATCCCTCTTGTTAGTTGAACATTTCTAATGCCCTTTACAGGCGTTGTAAATGTTTTAAAGCTCTTTTCAAGTGCTGGTAACAACTGACTTAAGCCACTAAACAACTTGACAACAATATATCAGAAACAAATAAATCGAACCAGACCCACAAAGGGGATTACGGTAAGGAGCCTCCGGACAGGACCCCGGCGATAGCCCCGGATCCGGTTGAGAGAACTAGAGGGGAACTTTTTGCCTTCGCCTGCTCCTTTGATAATCGAATCGCTGCGCTGCGGTGGCCACAATAAATTCAAAACTTTTCTCCCCCAGGGCAGAACACCTCTTTGGCTGTGCATTTTTTCCAGCTTTCCCGCTTTTCCGGCCATTTAAATGGCCAACTTTTATGGTAACAAGCTTACACGCATTCGTGCTTCGCAGTGCTGCCAAATTGTTCCCTTTCCGGGTTGATTTTGTTTTTAAAGAGGGAAACTACTTTTTTGAGTAGAAAAAGCAATCCAAGCTTTAATCATAGAACTATTCAAGAATAGTCTCACAAGATTTCAAGATTATAATTGAAATACATAAGGATCTTTAGTAAACTATAATAAAGTGAAATTATTTTGTTTAAGTGTTTCTCAATTTTTATTTGAGTCTTCTTTTGTGTTTGGTGTTTCTATAAACTATAAGAATTTTTAATTATTTGTATAGACTAATTATGATCATAAAATTAGAGATTATATACAAATCGGACTTATAAATCTAATAATAAACTGGGATATGCAGCAGCTGTACTCATCCGCAAGGATATAGAGAGCGCATAGTGCCGTATTAACCTTTTTTTCTAGTTAAACTTTTATTTTTATACCCTTGCAGGGTATTATAATTTCAGTCAGAAGTTTGCAACGCAGTGAAGGAGACGTTTCCGACCCTATAAAGTATATATATTCTTGATCAGCATCAACAGCCGAGTCGATCTAGCCATGTCCGTCTGTCCGTCTGTCTGTCTGTCCGTCTGTCCGTCTGTCCGTCTGTCTGTCTGTCTGTCTGTCTGTCTGTCTGTCTGTTTCTACGCAAACTAGTCCCTCAGTTTTAAAGCTATCTGAATGAAACTTTGCATATAGTCTTCTATATGCTCTCACTGCTATATATGTCGGAACGGGCCGGATCGGACGACTATATCCTATAGCTGCCAAACAAATGTTCGATATATTTGTAGAAAAAAAATTATAACTTTGCAGTTTTCCAACATTTTCGCACCATTTTTTAGATATGGCCATTTTATATTATTTTAGAATTTTGGAAAAAAATGTATGAAAATCGGACGACTATATGATATAGCTGCCATAGGAACGGTCGAGAAATAAATAGGAAAAAAAATTATAGTTTCGTTGTTTTTCAACGTATGTTTATCTACTCTGAGATATAACCTTTTTTTATTATTCTAGAATTATGGAATAAATTTCATAAAAATCGGACAACTATATCATATAGCTGCCATATAAACCGATCGGTAGATGTAGAGAAAATGTAAAACTGGGAATGTAAAACTGTAACTGTCAAACTGTAAACATAATAAGTATAGGTAACATGTAATGAAACTCTGTTTTGTGAGTGTTTTCAGCATTTAAATCTACACAGAAAAAATGGTAGAACGAAAAAATCAAGAATATTTTTCTTGATTTTTTCGATGTGGTGGATTAAAATTTTTAAGTACGATTCGGGGTTAGACAGTCGAGTTAATCCCGTTTCGGGATTAAATGACAAATTAAGCCTAAAAATTCTTGAATCAATCCCGTTTCGGGATTAAATGGCAAATTAAGCCTAAAAATTCTTGAATCAATCCCGTTTCGGGATTAAAATTACCAATTAAGCCTAAAAATTCTTGAATCAATCGCGTTTCGGGATTAAAATGACAAAATGAGCGTAAGAATTCTTGAATTAATCTCATTTTGGGATTATAGAGGCATAATAAGCCCAAACATTCTTGAATTAAGCCTAAATATTCTTAAAAATTTGGTGAGAGCAGCAAATCTATTTTTAGCTCAGAGAGAGAGATAACATTTTTGCTCTTTCCTTGAAACTGTATGTATTCGGGTTCCCGACATTAGCTTTTGATTTGACTCAGTGGCCCAGTTGGTAAGCGGACGGTCTGTGATTTCTGAGACATGGGTTCGAATCCCGACCGGGAACTAGGAAAAGTAAGTTTAAGTGGCTTTTAATAAGATTTATACATTAATATAATTAATTTAATAACCATTTGTAGCTTTATAATTACAGATTTAAATAAAAACTTCTCTTTCACTTCTCACTAAGAACTTTAGAGGGATTAAATCAAGGGTTTTTGGGATTAAAATAATTAAGAATTTCGGGGACTAAATCGAGAAAAAAAATTTTTTTTTTTTTTTAATTAAATTTAAATTTAAATTTTTAAATTAAAATTTAAGAATGTTTGAGATTAAATTAAGAAAAATTGGGATTGAAATTTTTAAGGTTAGCGGGATTGAATCAAGAATTTTCGAGATTGAAAAAATTAAGTATGTTCGTTCTTATATTAAGAAAATCCGACCTTAGCTCGAAATCATGCCCACTTGGGATTGATTTTGGCGACTTTATCCCGGATTTTTTTTTCTGTGTATAATATAAACCTCAAAACCAATCTGCAAGGGTATACAAACTTCGGCGTGCCGAAGTTAGCTTCCTTTCTTGTTTAACTTTCCTTTTTTTATCGTATTGACAGCACTGATGCTCCCACACACTCATTGCTACAGAAAGGACTCGATGATAGGAAAGGAAAAACCTCTGTGGAGGTGCAGGACCATGGCAACCCATGGAGGTTGCTTAATTCCTTATGGCCAACAACGATTCCGCCCGCCTGCCAATTGTTTAATGAGCTGAGTTCTCCTCGGTTTCGGTCCGCTCTGTTCAGCTCCTCGTTGTTTTCCCCCATTTTCTTGTTGCGTGTTTTGCTCATTTCGGTCCTGCTAAGCAGCGGAAATTGTCAGATAAGAGAATTTCACAAAAGTTGCTCATTTTAATCGACAAACTTTTGTCTAGTTTGATTGCTCAGAACTATGTATGTATCCATGCCTATCTGGTTTTGTGTATAGTTTGTCTGTGTCCCGACTCGTGGACAGCTGAGGTCTTGTTTTATCTTTCATCGACGTTCGCTCGGCTGTCGAGAAAATTTGCAAATAATGATGGCAACAACTGGAAACTGCTGGGGCAAAACTTATTCTAATTAGAAAGTTTTGAGATGAAAATATGTGGCATTCTTAGATTGTATTTGAATATTCCTACGGGGACAACATCTTAGGATATCTTTTATGAAAGTGGACAGAACTAGGAAATTAAATATTATGTTATTATTATATGTGTAACCATTATTTACAAAAAAATTAGCAATTAACCTTAAACAACGCCAGGCTAGTCGATTTAGTCATACCTTACTGTATATCCGTTTGTAGCAAAAGATCTCTTAGACTGTAAGAGCTAGAGTTACTTTCTTCTGCACGCAAGCTAAGTTTGCTTAAAAATTAGAAATTAACACTACTAATAAATACACATATTATACAGTCTTGAATTTTGTAAAAAGTATTATGATATTAAAAAAACTTTGAAATAATTTTTATTTATTTTCACCAGGCTGCGTTATTACGTTAACAGGGCGTCGTGATATTCGAGGAATTCGTATATTACTAATGATATTTATAGCCCCACAATAAATGAGTAAATCGATCGACATTCAAGTTATTACAACGAGCCGCTTCTTGCTCACTTTAACTGGATAAGTCGGCGATAAGATCGAGAGTCCGTCCACAAAAAGACTCATTATTGTTAAAAGAAGTTAATTACTTTTATTTGCTTTTGTTTTCCAATGCTATGTTGTTTACTCCTGTCAGTACCACAAATGCTTGATTCCATTTACATATGCTGGTCGAATCACTCTTAATGATTTTAATGATTTTAGTACCAGGTATCTTACAGTGGGACACACAGACAGTAACTGCTTGTAAAATTACCCCTAGATGTTTCAAATTGGAACACCAATACTAATTAGAATCAAATAATGCTATCCAATAGGACGTATCTTTTTCTAAACCAAGAAACTCAACCGTTGGCTAATTAGATAACCCAACAAAGCCCTTTCTGCAGCCCGAAACTATGCCATATACATTTAATACTCACATCAATTCAGCAAACAAACCCTTTCCCAGTGTGCAGCCATTAATATTATGGCAAGCAAACATAAAATTCGCTCAGACCGCTCATGTACGCCACTTAATTGGTGTGAGTGCAATGAAAAGGGGATAAACCCTTGTTCGATATTAATAAGCCTTGAGTACGTGCCATAAATAAAAGTGCACATTCCGGCGCCCAGCAAATAAAGTGCAAACCGACAAGGAATAAAAAAGGAAAAGCGCCCAGTTGAGTGGGAAAATTTCACTTGCCTTTCCGCGACGGCGGTCGGCGGTAAATGAAGTTGCGCGTGGTTGGAGGGCCCACCTGTGTCGAACCAGAAATATGCATTTAATCCCGATGTGCATTTAATTAATGCTGAAAACAAACACTCCAGCGCATACAGCTCCCGCTTTTTACATTTTTTCAGCCAATAAATTTAATTTAAGGCCCTTGGCGACAGCGAAACTGTAAAATGAAATAATGGCCTTAAACAGGAGCCCAACTCAGCTCAGTTTATGATTGTAGAGAAGGGTTTTAAATTTAAGAGTACATCCGATTCGATCCTGTCAATATAACACCGCCCTCTCTCCGCTTTAACCACAGGTATGCGCCCTATCCAAACGCGCCGTGCTGCTGCAGTCCTCGGATATACTCGCCTATAATGAGCTCCCACTCCATCAGGCCAACAGCATTAATGGCAACGCCAACGGCATCACGGCCATGGCATCGAAGGCATCCTCATCTGCATCCGCCTCTGCCCCCCAGAACATCATCGCCAACGCCGGGCTGAGCTACGAGGATGTGCTGAACGATGATTTTCAGTTCGACATGGATGGCCATGACGTTATGGTCTTCCTGCACATCCAGAAAACGGGCGGCACCTCGTTCGGCCGCCATCTGGTCAGGGATCTGGACCTCAAGGTAGGATTTCATTTAAACCCCTTAATTTTTCGACTAAATAAATTATAAAAATGAAATCCCCAGCGTCCCTGCGAGTGCCAGCGGCAAAGGAAGCGCTGCTACTGCTTCCGGCCGCATCGCAACGAGAACTGGCTCTTCTCCCGCTACTCGACGGGTTGGAAGTGCGGCCTGCACGCCGACTGGACAGAGCTGACCAGCTGCGTGGACGTGGAGCTGGACAAGAACGAGGGCGAGACGGCCAAGCGGCGATACTTTTACATCTCGCTGCTGCGCGAGCCGATCGCCCGCTACATGTCCGAGTACCGGCACGTACGGCGGGGCGCCACCTGGAAGGGATCGCGCCACTGGTGCCTGGGCCGTCAGGCCTCCGCCGCGGAGCTGCCCGCCTGCTACAAGGGCAAGGACTGGCTGGACGTGGACCTGGACCAGTTCGCCGGCTGTGAGTCGAACCTGGCGGCCAACCGGCAGACTCGTATGCTGGCCGACTTGGCCCTGGTCGGCTGCTACAACAAGTCCTCGATGCCCGCCCACGAGCGGGACCGCGTGATGCTAGCCAGCGCCAAGCGCAACCTGGCCGCCATGGCCTACTTCGGCTTGACTGAATATCAAAAGGTGAGCTGAGAGCCTCGATTTCAAAAATATTTACTATAGATTGCACTTCCCCTTGCCAGATGTCCCAATACATATTTGAGGAGACTTTCAACCTGCGCTTTGCCATTCCCTTCGAGCAGCACAACACCACGATCTCGGCGGCTGCCGTCCTGAATCTGCGCCAGGATCAGCGGCGTCGCATCGAGAAGCTCAATGGCCTGGACATTGAGCTGTATGCCTTCGCCAAGACGTTGCTGTTTCAGCGGTGAGTACCGGGGAGAGATACTCTTCTGCCATATGTATTTTGATATTTATAACACCCGACTTAATTGGCTACTGCCTCAGCAAGTTTGTCTGCTCGGTAAACCTGATCATGACTCCGGTTCCTTTAATCCTTCTTTCTCGGCCAGCACCCCCGGGACGGACCGATTTGGTCGGAGGTCGATGACTCAGGTCCAGGTCCTTTGTAGCGCTTTGTATCCCACGAGGGTGCGTAAACCCTTTGATCGCCAAGGGGCCATGCCAGTCGCTGAGTCCTTTGTCTCCGTCACTGTTCCGTCTGTTGTGTTGACATTGGCCCCGGCACAAGGGTATTGTTTGGAGGGAAATAAGGAGAATGGAGGCCATGGTGCCATCATTAGATCGCGTTACTTTTTAGCGCTTTCAATGATCGTTACGTTATGCATGAGCAGGCATGGGAAAATTGTGTCGAAGGGTTGTCCTAGCGCTGGGAAATTGTTAATTACATCGTGAAAACCTTGGAAAGTGCCTGTGCTCAGGCATAAAAATGTGTTGTTAGTGATTTTAAATTGTTATGGTTTTGTTTATTATAAAGAGATTTTTATCCACTTAAAATCTTTTAAATGTAATAAAAATATTTATATTTTATATTAAATGTGTACACAAATTAAAGGAATAGTTAGGCAAACTAATTTTCAACAGAAGGAATTGTCAACCATAAACTTGGTCGCTTAAAATTGCTTGTTAAAAAGTGCAGCTAAGGCTTTGAGGTATCTTTATATAACTCCATAGAACAATCAGCATAGAATACGAAACCTTCAGATACATAAGAAAATAAATCTTTATGTCTCAGCGGCACAGCTGTATGTGTGGCAGACCCACCCAGAATTTCATGCCTGCCTGATTTAACCTAGAATTATCACCTTCCGTTTGCTGGAATATTCTCCGGCCATTGTTTGCCTTTTCAAAAGGAGCAACCAGCTGAGCAGCAGTTGGCAGTTGTGACATTATCGCCAAAGGAAGGAGAGAGGAACCCGGGCAGTTGTTACCGCAGTATCAGCAGGATGGCATAGGGATCTCCCCCTTCCGATTGCCCAACACGCCCCACACCCTCGCGTGATCAGGGGAAATCAATTTGCACCCGACGCTTTTCCATTTTCCATGCAATTCAATGGGATTTAATTCCATTCAACTCACCGCGCAGGCGCGACTCTCTCGCATTTTCGTCCTAATTATGCGGGCATCGGATTTCGTATCGAATTAACAACTTATGCTGGTGCCAGCTGGGTTGGAGCTAACGGATAAATCAGCCCCTTTAGCTATCCAGTCCTATCCTTGTACTCGCACTCGTCCTCGTCCTCGTAGTTGCAATGCTCGGGAGGGGCAGGAAAGCAGACAGATGCGCGAGCGTCTTTGCCACGGCACATTTCCCATATCGGAGCGAGGGAATGCGGAACCCCGTTGTCGTCCCATCTCACCCCGAAAGGAAACCCTCCTCGTGCTATCTTCAACTAACATACAATTGCGACATTTGCGCGCGCTAAAATGAAAACATTTCCTAACATATAAGTAGTTCTCTCCGCATACACACGACGACCAATGTCTTGACTAATGCTCAGATAAGACGAAGAAGGGACGAGGATCTGCGGCACGAACCACCACCAAAACAAACCGACAAAGGAGGTACAGGGGATTTTAGGGGTGATATTCGAATGTGGAATACCCTTAAATTGTTTCAGAAGAACTCTTAAGAACTCTTTTTTATGATTTTCTGCAATTTAGATTTTATTTTCTTAAACTATTTAAAATGATTTTAGTTCAGGCACCTTATATTTATTAAATTATCTATAAAATAAGAAGGATTATTTACCAATCGTTTCAATGGCAACTGTATGATATTCTAGCGGCCCGTCTCTGCATTTAGATTTGAAAGACGATCTGAATGTGAAGAAGATGATAATACAAAAACTAATCTCGCTTGGACGTAATTTTTGGAGTGTTTTGACTTTTTATTAGGTTGTTTTTGAACTTTTGATAAATACTTATGGCATATTGGACCAAGGTTTTAAAGTTTTAACAAGGATCCCTACTTTTTTGTCCAGCAATAAATATACCCAATAACACTCATGTTGAACGTAGCTTCAAATGGTGAAATAATATTTGAAAACGGCTCAGTAGTATTGAGATTAGTCAATAACATGCATACACACAAAAATACAAATATATTATTTTTATAATATTGGTATAATGAAGATTCAGATTTCTGAAATATTAAATCTCAAGAAAAAAAAATCTATTCGTCAAACTAGATGAAAATTTGTTGAAGAATGGCGAAGTTATTAATTTGTTTCTATAAATTTCCCGATCTTTGATATGGTAGCTTTATGATATAGTCTCTATTCGATCTAGACCGTTCCGAATCATATAATTAATTGTGGGAATTGAAAGAAGACTATTTGCTAAGTTTTATTCGGAAAGCTCCAAAACCGAAGGACTTTTGCATAGAAACGTAAAGACTTATATTTTCGGATGTCGATTCTGATCAAGAATATATATTTTTTATAAGGTAAGCAATGACTCATTAACAGCGTGGCAAACATCTGACTAGAATTATAATACCCAGCAAGGGTAATAAATATTTTATGTAACATATTTTTAATTCCTTCAATTCTTTTATTATATTTTCATTTTAAACTAGTGCTTTCGTCCTATTTGTTATACATACAGTATACTCTATCGCAATAACTTCGCTCCGTAAAGATTTCTCACCCTTCCAAAGATCTCGCCATACCCAACCTGACAGAGGGTATTGCCCATGCGAACAGAGAGCGATCATTGTTGGAACGACCCTTAATCGAGGGTTGTTTTCCCTGTTCTCCCTCTCATTGTGCCTCTATCTCTGTTCCCCTAACTCTCCCTAGGCCTTCGCCAGCTGAAGGGAATGCCTGCCTCGGGGATCTCCGAGAAAGTTGAATTCAGTTAGGTTTTGACATCGCAACGCGTAGGTACAGTGCAACGGGTAGCAACGGGAAAGCGGGTTTATTGCAGGATAGAACGGACCGAGAAGTACAGAAAAAAATTATATAAAACGAACTAGCAGACGATTTTTTACAAAATTCACCCGACCAAGAAACCAAAAACAAAAGAAATTTAAAAAAGGAAAACCAAACCAAAAAAGTTAACATTGTGTTTATGTTTGAGTTATTGTTATTGCCAAAAAGTTAAAGCGAACGTTGTTTATGAGTCACTAAGACCGATCCCAAAGAAATCGTTACATTTTCGATCGAAGATCCCCGAAAGAGTCACAAAAGTTCACACGAGAATGTCGTTCTCCAAGGCCAAGTTAAAGCGTTTCAATGATGTGGACGTGGCCATCTGCGGCTCGCCGGCTGCCTCCAACAGCTCGGCGGGATCGGCGGGCAGTGCCACGCCCACAGCAGCTGCAGCAGCGGCTGCGCCCACCGTCCAGCCTGAGCGCAAGGAGCAGATCGAGAAGTTCTTCAAGGACGCCGTGCGCTTTGCGTCCAGCTCAAAGGAGGCCAAGGAGTTTGCCATTCCCAAGGACGAGAAGAAGTCCAAGGGCCTCCGCCTCTTCCGCACGCCCTCACTGCCGCAGCGCCTGCGCTTCCGTCCGACGCCCAGCCACACGGATACGGGGACCAGTGGCAGTGCCAGTGGGGCCTCCACGGCCGCATCCACGCCTCTGCACTCGGCGGCCACCACGCCTGTAAAGGAGGCCAAGTCCGCCAGCCGGCTAAAGGGCAAAGAGGCGCTGCAGCACGAGATTAGGCACAAGAACGAGCTGATCGAGAGCCAGCTGAGCCAACTGGATGTGCTTAGGCGTCACGTGGAGCAGCTCAAGGAGGCCGAGGCCAAGCTGCGCGAGGAGCACGAGCTGGCCACTGCCAAGACAGAGCAGCTGATCGGGGCCCTTACCGAAGAGAACCTTTCGCACAAGGCCCACAACGAGCAGCTCAGCCAGGAGCACTCGCATCTCCTGGAGCAGTTTGCCGCCTTGGAGCAGCAGTTGCAGCAGCAGCGCGAGGAGCACGAGCGCCAGGTGGACACGCTGATCGCCGAGAGCGAGGCCCTGCGCCTGGCCAACGAACAGCTGGTGGCGGCCAGCGAGGAGCGCCAGGCGGTGGAGCAGCAGCTCCAGGAGCAACTCTCTGCCCTCCAGGCGGACGTTGCCCAGGCCCGCGAGCACTGCAGCCAGGAGCAGGCCAAGACGGCCGAGAACATTGAGCTGGTCGAGAGCCTGCAGCGGAGCAACGCCACCCTGCTGGCCGACGTTGGCCAACTGAAGCAGCAGATCGAACAGGACGCCCTGGCCTACGGACTGGAGGCCAAGAGCAGCCAGGCGGAGCTGGAGTGCCTCAAGGTGGAGCGCAACACGCTGAAGAACGACCTGGCCAACAAGTGCACCCTCATCCGGTCGCTGCAGGACGAGCTGCTGGACAAGAACTGTGAGATTGACGCTCACTGCGACACCATCCGGCAGCTGTGCCGGGAGCAGGCTCGCCACGCCGAGCAGCAGCAGGCGGTGGCCAAGGTGCAGCAGCAGGTGGAGAGCGATCTCGAGGGCGCCGTGGAGCGCGAGAAGAGCTACTGGCGCGCCGAGCTGGACAAGCGCCAGAAGCTGGCCGAGAACGAGCTGATCAAGATCGAGCTGGAGAAGCAGGACGTGATGGTGCTGCTGGAGACCACCAACGACATGCTGCGCCAGCGCGACGAGAAGCTGCAGAAGTGCGAGGAGCAGCTGCGCAACGGCATCGACTACTACATCCAGCTGAGCGACGCCCTGCAACAACAGCTGGTGCAGCTCAAGCAGGACATGGCCAAGACGATCACTGAGAAGTACAACTACCAGCTAACGCTTACCAACACCCGGGCCACCGTTAACATCCTGATGGAGCGGCTGAAGAAATCGGACGCGGACGTCGAGCAGTTCCGCGCCGAGCTGGAGTCGGTTCAACTGGCCAAGGGAGCGCTGGAGCAGAGCTACCTGGGCCTGCAGGCGGACGCCGAGCAGCTGCGCCAGCAACTGGCCGAGAGCCAGGAGGCGCTCTCCTCGCTGCGCTCCTCCTCACAGACGCTGCAGGGCGAGGTATCGTTGAAGGAGTCCATGCTCCACGAGCTGCTTGCCGGCGAGGCTGAGACGTTGGCCAAATTCAATCAGATTGCAAACTCGTTCCAGGAGCGAATCGACGGCGACGCCCAGCTGGCCCACTACCATGAGCTGCGCCGCAAGGACGAGACCCGCGAGGCCTACATGGCGGACATGAAGCGGGCGCTCGACGAGTTCGCCACCGTGCTGCAGTTCGCCCAGCTGGAGCTGGATAACAAGGAGCAGATGCTGGTGAAGGTTCGCGAGGAGTGCGAGCAGCTCAAGCTGGAGAACATCGCCCTCAAGTCCAAGCAGCCGGCCTCGGCGGCAGTTCTGCTGGGAACGCCCGGCAAGGCCAACCGCTCGAACACCACCGACTTGGAGAAGATCGAGGACCTGCTGACCGACACCGAGCTGCGCTCCGAGTGCGACAAGATCACCTCTTGGCTTCTAAACTCCTCGGAGAAGTGCGTGCGCCAGGACAGTAGCAGCGAGATCAGCGAGCTCCTCGCCTGCAAGTCTTCGCCCCGCCCCGCTCCGCGCACACCCAAGGCGGCGCCCCAGACCCCGCACACTCCGCGCAGCCCGCGCACGCCACGCACACCGCGCACTCCCAAGTCCGCCGCAGGAAGCACGCCCAAGAAGACGGTCCTGTTCGCCGGCAAGGAGAACGTGCCCAGTCCGCCCCAGAAGCAGGTGCTTAAGGCGCGCAACGTCTAGGCCCATTCTAAATATCCGTACCATCTACCACATATTGTTCTATTTATAAATTATATAAATTATACCTTAGCTAAGATCTGATCAGAAATATATTCCATGCGACAAGAACGTGGCACACAATTCAGCTCAAGTTGTTTTTGGAAATGTCCTTTAGACTTTGCTTGACTGACACTTAAGTTTCTTATAAATAGAGGTATAAATCCTCTAAAGAATTTCTTAGCCTAGTTGTAAATTGCCGAATTTTTGACCCTTTGACTTACATTTTAAATATTGAATCAGTTATACTTTTAAAAAGGAAATTTATCTGCTTAAAGAGGCATCTCTCCTTAATTGACATCTATTATTCCTACGGAAAATGTATGACGTTTTATTATTATCTTTAAGTTCTAGAAAATTTATAGTTTCGCCCTCCCCTTAACCGGAAAATAAATGTATAATCAACGAAAACCTATATTTTTGTTAGAAGCTGTACTTGAACCAGTTAGGGCTTTCTTGACTCACAACCCCTTAAAAACGAGTTCTTGATTTTGATTTCGCTCCTTTCGAATGTGACGGAATTTTCTCAGGCTGAACCTCCCTTTCAAAGGCAGCCATGCAAGCCGATGGATGGATTCTTGCGACGCTGATTACGCACACGTGGGCCTCGGGCTCTTCTCCTCCCCGTAAGGCACCCGATGGAACGGTTTCTTGGTTCCTCGGTTCCTCAAGCGAAACGGAACAGCTGCGCCTGCGCCTGCGCTTCCTCCTCAAGGGTGGTTTAGCCTCGACCGTCTTGCATTAAATACCCATACTCCTAGGAAACGCAGGAAAATACCCATGCACCGCCGCCACCACCGTTGTTTGGAAGTGAAAACAAAAACAACCTCTGGTGGCTGCAAGCTCGCTTCATTAATTGTGACTTAAGCCTGTTGACGGGGTTTTCCCTTCGCCTTCACCTTCCTCCCTTTCCGCTCCTTTTGCTTCCCTCGAAATCTCTGAAGGCTGCAGGCCTGCCTTATCCTTTGTCTTGGGCCGCACAATGGCCGCTTATGACCTTTGACATTTTCTGCAGTGCTCACAATGTGCCCCGGGCAAGGTAAGTGAGTCTTGCCCGGCCCAAGACTAGGATTTATGCACACAGTACACACAGCCTACAGCTGTACTCGCCCAGACCCGGGCAGCTGCATCAACAATTGAGGGTTCTTTTTATGGCGGGTGCACATAACACACACATAAGACGCCGTTTTATTGCGCAGAAGTAAATTGAGCAGCTTTTGTCGGAAGAGCGACAATACCGAGGGTTTTGGGTTCTCGGGTGGAAGGAGGAGGTCGGAACAAGAAACGGAAAAACGGGAAGGAAATGCAAACACAAGTTGTCCTGTAAATCCCAGAAGAAAGTCGATTACCCGCTAGTGATTTACATGTTCGTCTACCTGGGGAGAATACTTGGAAGCAAGAAACAATTACTACCTATAAAAAAAAGGTAGATTGTAAAGGACTTAGATTTCGTCAAGTTATTATTAGAGATATGAGAGAAAAGAGGTTACATTAATTATATATATAAATATAGGTTGCATTTATTTTGAACATTTGTCCCTTGATCGTAATTATTTTTTAATGAATTCCTGAAATGAGTTCCACGCTCTTAACATCTTCACAAAAAAATTAAAAACTTATAGAAAAGCTAAAGGAATTTGCTTAAAGAATTCAATAAATGGATGTTTAATAAAACAAATACACCTTTCAGGCGTGAAATCGGATAATAAACATTTGAATTATAAGGCAATAAAATATAAGGTTGTCAAAAAAGTCTTGCGGTATTTTTATTGAATTTTCAATTGTTCATAAATGCGATTTAAGTCAAATATGCGCCGTTTTGTTCGATGACGAGTTCCCAACGAGATGCCAACTTCATAATGCCCCTCTTATAGAAGCTCGCTTCCCTATTGGCAAAAAACTCGGAGAGCCAATTTTCAAAGGACTCTCTTGTGGGCAACTTCCGACTACCAAGCTCGTCGCCACTGACAGAAATAGGTGGTAATCACTTGGTGCGAGATCCAGACTATACGGTGGATACAAAAGAACCTCCCTTCCGAGCTCCCGCAGCTTCTGGCGCGTCACCAAAGATGTGTGTGACCTGGCATTGTCCTGATGGAAAACAATTCCGCCTATGTTGATGAATGCCTATTCTGCAAGAGTGCTCCATTCAAGCGGTCCAATTCCACTAATAAAGCTATAACCACGCGCTTGGAAAGACTCCTTGCTGAAATACCGCAAGATTTCTTTGACCATCTCACTCGCATTTACCTCAGTTGTTTAGTCAAGTCTGGAACCGTGACTTTGAACTGGGACTGGAAAAGGAAACCATAATGTTTTCATTAAATTTACTTTATATATTTACTAGATATCTTTCTTGAGATTTTATATATAAAAATCAAAATCATAAAATTTACTAATAATTCCCATTTTATTATCCTTTCAGCTTTGAACACCTGAAGGCGAAGGACTCGAACTTCGAGCAGCGCTACGCCAACCTGGGCAACATCTACTTTAAGCAGGGCGTCACGGAATTCAACTGGGACAGCAATGTGGACGACGCGCTCAGCACGGATCATTGAACTCCAAACCAAATACTAACGATTAGAGACTAGCTGTAGAATACACACACACCAACTCATTAATATATAGCTGGGCAGGGCAGAACCGAAGGATAATGATAATGTGGGGTGGTCACAAAGGTTACGGCACCGCAAAAGCATCAGCAAAAGATCAACCGAAGGACTTTAAACTAGCATGTAAGCATAATGTTAATTAAGCAGATAAAGAACACCTAGCGGACTTGGCTTGTCTCATATTCACACCTGAACTAACTGGAGGGCGATCGAGCGGAATCTCAGTGCGCGCATTATATCTAAACCGAAACCTAATCCTAAGCACACCTCCGAAGTCTACAGCCCACTCCTACTCTACTGTTCTCCTTGCTAACAAGTCTTACTCCTGACGAAATGTAAATACTTTGCATGATATGTGTACTTTAAATTCAATCAGTTGAGAGCAGTGCAAACACACTCGAATTGAACCTCCGCCTTCATAGAGCATCCACCACATCACACGCCATACCTTAGATTAATTAATTATTTGTAATAAGTACGTAGTTTTCGTTCTTTTGTTACGCCAAGTCTCTGCGAAGCCAAATCCACACTTAGTCTAAGAGCACAGTGCTTGCGAAATGTTTTCGATCCAACAACGCATTTATTTTATTTACTATTAGACACCATTGTAAATACGGCAGAATAAAGTTAAACGACACAATATAAGTATGAGCATAGAGATTCACATAATTCTACTGTTTTCCCCCGACACAAACAACACACACAAACCGCGTTAGAGTTGTTAGCCGACATAATTGTTTCAGACAATAATTAATTGGAGATTGATATCAAACGAGAGCCGATGAATTGAAACCGAAATTTGATCAAACAAAGCCAACGAAGTATATACATAAAGCCAATTGCCTAAATTATTCAAGAGCATACACACGTTGCCCCTAAAAATGATGTAAAATATTTCCAAATATTGATTAATTGCATAATAGTAATCTGCCATTTTATATATAGAGCAGCCATAAGGGAATTATGGAATTGCATAGGTGGAGCATATGCTCACAAACAATATTATTTGCATTTTCATGATTATGATTTTGGAAATGAAAAACAACAATTTTGTATCGCGCAAAAACAACACACATTGACAACAAAAAGCAATGCAAACACAAGAAATAAGAGCAGGTAAAATTGAATAAAAACAAGTGAATTATTGAATATATGAAATCATTGTTCTCTATTATTTTTTGGCTAGTGGGTCACAGGGGTTTTCAAGGCACTGGAGTTTATTGTTAGGTTACTTTTGGGATATCAACATATTTGCAGATCTCAATAGGAGGGTCTTCATTAAGCGTTGCATACTTTTTGGTCTTACACAAAATTGTATTTACTTTCTGTCCTTCTACTTTGAGCTTAATATTTAACTTCCATCCGGTTTTAAAATACATTTAAGATTCAATAAGACCAAAGCCTAGTGTGAATCACATTAATTAGGGCGGTATAACCGCGTTTGCTTATTTATGGAAAATTTATTTGTTACCTTTTGTTTAGAGACAATCAATATTTATTAGGTACTAAGTAGATGGGCCTCATTCTCAGCACTCCTACGTCATTGATGGAATACTGAAAACAAACCTAATAATAAGACATCTCACCCAGACGGAGCACAAAATCTCCGACTAATTTGCACCAATTTGAGGGGACAACTAAACGGAAGAGCAAACATCGTTTTCCCTCCCGTACCACCAGGCCATGGGATCGATGAAAAATTAGCAAACTCAGTGCGCGTACGTACGCCAAGGTGTAAGCTTGCTCGGAACATGTCGGACTCGCAATCTCAATCGCAATCGCAGTCCAGCGTCGGTAATCTGGCAAAGTCCTGCCCTGGTCTAGACGTGGTGGAGCAGGTCAACGGCAGCTTTGGCCGCTGGCAGCTTCGCACCATTCTGCTGATATTCCTTTGCAAGATTCCAAGTGCCTGGTTCACGGTCATCATCGTCTACACCGCTCCGATTCCCTGGAAGGGTGAGCTGGTATGCCACCCGGCCGAATGGAATGCCAGCCGGCCCCGGGTTGAGCGTGAGAGCCACACCCATCCGCTGTGGCAGGATGCACGCAGCACCGACCGGCTGTTCAATGTGGACGTCTGCAACGCCTACTCCCAGTCCCTGGCCCGGGGATTCGTGCAAAGTCATGGCCGGGAATGGAATGCCTCGGAATCGACGGAGCCGCATGCTCGGTCCTCGCTGCCCTGCGAGCACGTGGAGCACATGACCGACTACAGGTCACTGATCGTTCAGTTCGATCTGATCTGCTCTCGCCGCGTCCTAGTGGCTGTGACGCAATCCTTTCACGCCCTCGGCGCCCTGATTGGTGGACTCATGGCCTACTCGGCGCTCAAGAGGTTGGTGTTTTTGATTTTTCCTATTTGAACTTGAGCAATAATCAGTTTAATACTCTTCAGAATCAGTCCCCGCCGCCTGATGTTGCTGGGCATGATTGGGCAGATATTCTGCGGAAATCTGACTGGCCTGGTGGACACCTACCAGTTGCATATCTACTTCCGCTGCCTCACTTCCATATTCTGTGCTCTAATGTACACTTCCGGGCAGTTTATATGTAAGTAAAGTCTCTGCCTAAAGTCCCATAATTAAAACAAATCAAAAGACCCAAGAAACGAACTTACTTTTATATTTATTCTTTTTAGTAAACGACATCACCTCGGGAAAGGCTCGCATCATTGTGGTCACCCTATCGGAGTTGTTCTGGTCCATGGGGCTCGTTCTGCTGCCCGCCATATCCATATATTTCGATGACTGGAGCTACCTGTACGTGGCCATCTCCTCCTCCCTCATCGTGCTGGTCTGGCTGCATCGCTGGATAGCGGATGCCCCCCGCTGGCTGCTCCAGCACCAACGGGTGGAAGCGGCACTCAGCCAGCTGCTGGAGTCGGCCACCTACAACAACCGGAAGGTCCCGCTCACCCTGGACGTTCAGCTCACAGGCCTCGCCAAGGAGCTCGAGCTGAAGGCCCGGCAGAACCGCAGCTACTGCCAAATCTGGGACGGAGAGACGAAGCGCAGCCAAGTGGTGTACATCCACTGGATCTGGGGCGGAGCCATGGTCATCTACAACATCACCCTGCTGATGATACGCAACCTGGGGACCCAGCAGGTGCACGTGAACACCGCCGCCCTTGGGTTCGCTGAGATGGTGGGCGTCTTCGTGGGCCTTTATTTGATCCTGTACACTCGTCGCCATTGGCGCTGGGCTGGGAACCTCATGATAATAGCTGGTCTCTCCACCTATCTCATCTGGATGCTGCCGGAAACTGGTGAGGAATCTAATGACAATGACATCTTTATTGTCTAAATTTGCGTTTACCCCAACAGAACGTAATTCCCGGCGGGTGGGCCTGGAGCTGCTTTTCTGGATGATTTTGAAAGTCTCCAACTCCGCCTCGATAGCCGTGCTGACCACGTGCACGGGTGAAATGGTGTCCAACGAGAAGCGCGTCTACCTGCTCCTCTCCGTGGTCTCATTCAGTCGCCTGTGCTTGGTCTTCTCCCCGTTGCTCAGCTGCCTAACTGTCGTCCACCACTTGGTGCCCATCACCATATTGGCCACGCTGGCTTGGATTTACGGCTTGGCGCTGCGTCGTCTCAATCGCTACTACTGGAACTCGGAGCAGCCGCACATCAGCCAGGTGCCCACGCCCAACACCTACCGTCGCCAGTCGGCCATCATCATGCGCCGCTGCAGCACCGCTAGCTCGGAGTGCAGTGCCTATAGCAACGAGCTGCTGAGCAACTTTGAACGGAACATGGCTGTCAGCATAGCGGACATTTGGCACATTAACTTCCACCCTTCGAGTGAGATTGAACTGGAAATGGAACAGCAACAGCCGGAAGCTTTGAGATCGCGCAGCATGGAGACCATTTGAAGAGCTTCAAAAAGGCCTAAAAGTAGGCTCCTCGGATCTGTAGTATGATCTACACTTTATTGTTTATGCCTTAATATATTAGTAAAAGTTATATTTATAAGAGATTAACTGATCACATAAAAGGACATTGATGAAGCAACTCTTCTTTAGTAAAGAAAAAAAATTATTAAACTCATTAATTATTTGATTAATAAATATAAAATGTTTGAATAAAGCCACTCTCATATCATACCGATCAATTTCGGCACAAGTTTGAAGGCTTGCCTAAAGGTAAACGTAACCGGTGTTAATCCAATCCAAATCGGAGCACTCAACGTCAGATCTTGCTAATTAAGTTATACCTTTTGTTTTGCTTGAACTCTGCATTATGGTCTTAATTAGCAAACTGTGCGTTTCAAATTATATCAAATTAAACTAATTTAAATGACAGATCCATGATAATCAAGTGATACATCCTGGAGCTGTACTCATCAGGATAAAGGTTGAAAACCAAGTGCACCTTTAGTTTCGATATTAATGTAGGTCAATGTAGAGTACACCAATCGATGCGATGCGTCACCAAGTGGGCTAAAATAAAGCAGCAGAGACAATAAAGATTAAAATAGAAATCCGCAAGGAAGGCGAAGACGAATTTGTACAAGCCCGAAAGGCAAACGCTGATAACGTAAAGTAATAACGTTATGGCTTCCCAGCTATAAACCCTCCTCCTTGGAAGAGAGGCGACCCCCCGCACACCCGCCTGGCCAAGATAATGCACACCTGATAGGGGTAAAATCGAACTGAAACTAATAATATAAAGAGCATTAAAAGACACTCTATCCACCTAACGCCGGCTGTCAATAATATTAAATATTAAATGTGCAAACAAACAGAGACACGTTCCTTCCCCGAAAATCCTTTTGGTTTCGTAATAAATTTTAAAATAGCGAAAAATGAAGAAAGAAACTTTTGATAACTTATAACCCGCTCAATATTTTATTATTTGAGCAAATTCATTAAGAAAATTAACGCTTCGAGGGGACAGCAATCGGCTCGCTCCCTGCCAGTAGCCCCACAGCGCGACACTGGCGTCAGTTGCCATTTGATTCTCGGCCGATTGAGACGCGTGTGCTTCAAGAAGAAACCCGAGCGGGACGTGTGAATCGAAAGGCTGCCATTTACGTCGGTTAATTAATTTACATTAATTTGTATGCAATCAAACGGCAAAGACACAAATTGTCTGGCCAATGAAACATTATTTAACGGAATTATTTTGCGGCGAAACTGTGATCAAAGATAGTTAAAAGGTGTTATTTTGACAGAGGTCGGTAGATCTTTAATATAAAAAAATCCAACAGCAAATCTACAACTTTCTTAAGTTATCTACGAACGTATCCGCTCGAGTTAACTATTTTTATTATCGTTTAATTAATTAATATTGATTTGTGTATTCAATCAAAAAAACAAACAGCAAAGAAATAACTCGAGAAGCGAAAATTAACAGAAATATTTGGCTTTCTGTGGTTTTGAAATTGTGATCATAGATAGGCAAATTTTCTTTGACTTCATAGGCTTTACATTAGCTAATTATTATAGAAAAATTCACGTTAAGTGGATATTGAGTTCACTTAATCATACTCCTGTCAAAAACGCGAGCATTCCATTCATTTGATCCGAGTATACGCCTTCCCAGGGGCTCAGTTCTGCCTCCGCAAGCTTTTATTAATTTGCATTTCCATTTGAAACAAGTCATTCAACTAATAACTCGCACCTGCCGCCGCTGTCATTGCCTTAGATGAATATCTGTGTTTTAGTAAAATGGGGAAATCAAATATTCACGACCAGCGTGGACCAGTTTTCAGCAATTAGCACTGCCTGGAAAATTATATATTAAAATATTTGCGCGCCTAATAAGAGGCCAATAGGCGGACCGACTTCCCAGCCAGACAATAGCGAGTTAGCACCTGTGAATCTGAAGCATAAAGTCTCTGTGTATACAGTTGGTCCAACAAAGCGGCGGCGAGCGAATCTGTCTGGAGTTAACAGCTAAATCTTATGACTGCCAATCTGGCGTAATGTTTGCGACCTGCAAATAGGGACTAACAATCAGATAGTGCAATGGGACGGAGCAGTACTTATTATCTGCTTTAATCAACCTCCTCCTGGCTTATCGATGGAGCCCTAATCAGCGCGAGCGTGATTTGTGATACGATATCAAGGGAGAACTTCGAGACTAAAAGTAATCCAAGGAGTTGCCTAATCTGTTAATAAATTAAATAAATTAAGGTTACACTATAGAAACAAATAAAACTTTAAAAGCAATTAGCTAGCTAAATAAATAAAACAAACAAAGATACATATCTACAAGTATCGTGATTATTGCGGCTAATTGCAAATACAAATAGATTGGAGACTCTCGACTTGAAAGAAAATGCCTTTCTAAATTTTCCATATTTATGGGGAAGTCTTTTTTACACATGTTTATTTATGACATTCACCAATCTATTTATCCATATATTGAAAATCAATCAGAGATGGTAACCGCACATATTTCAGGAATCCCGCGTGATATTCAATGCCTTCGAACGTCCGACTTCAGCTGTAAACCGCTTTCAATTTATATCAATTGCGTGCCACGGGTATTGACATAATATTAATAAACAAACTGGAACGGCATGTCGCCGTCTCGCTTGCTATTCGCAGAATGCTCTTCTAGAGAGGCGCCACTGGAGCAATGGTCAACGAGTCGCCAGTCCGAGGTGGCGGCACCACCACGCCACCACACATCCTACCCAATGAGGTCGAAACGGATGCGGCCAAGCGGATGGCAGCTGGGCCACCAACAGTGCCAGCAAGCAGCGACATCATCGGCGACGTCGTGGGCGACTTCGGGATCTGGCAGCTTAGAACGATCCTCATCATCTTCCTATGCAAGATCCCCGCCGCCTGGTTCATGGCCTGCATCATATTCACCGGTCCTGAGCTGTATCCCGGCTCGGAGTTCACCTGCGATACCAGTTACCTTGACAGCGGAGGCAACTCCAGCTATATCGTCTCCGAAAACCAATGCTACGTGATGGATGGCGCTACGGGCAGCAGCAGCGAGTGCGAGCAGTTCACCTATGAGAGCAGCTTCGACTCCCTGATCATGCAGTTCAACCTGGTCTGCCTGAGGGACATCTTCGTGGCGTGGACCCAGTACTGGCATCTGTTCGGGGTGCTCGTCGGCGGCGTTATGGGCACCAAGATGATGCTGGGCATCAGCCCCAGGAGCACCTACTGCGTCGGGGCCGTGGCCCAGATAGTGTGTGGAGTGGTCACCGGGTACGCCCGTGACTTCAGTCTGCACTGCGCCTTCCGCTGCCTGTCCGCCGTCTGTTGCGCGATCATGTTCACCGCGGGACAGGCGATATGTAAGCTTTCGAGAAACCTTTCCTGCGATTCCTGCAATCAATACTCATTTTACCCATCCTGCTCTAGTTGCCGACATCACGGCGGGAATGCATCGCATTGGGGCCATCATTCTGTACGACACCTTCTGGTCCATTGGCGTCATCCTGCTACCGGGTCTCTCATCGTTCTTCAACAGCTGGTCTCTGATCTATGTGGGTATAACCTTTCCCACCGTCATGCTGATCGTGCTGCTCTACTGGACCCCCGACTCGCCCCGTTGGCTCCTCCGGCATGCCGTCGACCGCGTCTCCATTGACAACGTTGAGGAGATCATACGAGAGGGGGCAGCTATCAATGATCGCACCTTCAAGATCCCACCCGACTTCCGCCAGCAGCTGGAGCAGCTGAGTGAGCGGCTGAAGGCTCAGCCCCCACCGGCCCCCTGGCGGGAGCTCTGGCAGGGCAAGCGGGCCAAGACGCACATGGTGGCAGCCCACCTGGCTCTGGCCTTCTTTGTGATCAACTTTATGGGCATGCTGCTCAACATCCGATCGTTCGGCAGGGACTACCTGGTGCCGAACACGATTGCCATGGGTGAGTAAAAATCTTCATTAAAACTATAAGCAAACTTAAAAAATATAATTTTAATTAGATTTAAGATTCAATTGTTTGGGTTGCATAAAAATTTAAGAGTTTTCTTCTTGAAAATATTACATTGCAGTAAATTCTAATTACCGTCTTGATAATAAAAGACTTTCATGGATGATAGAGATTTTCAGAATTATGGTATATATTTTTCAATATATTGGTCCCAACTCCCATAGAGTTATAGTGAGTTATAAAAGCTATAAATACATCACATTAAATTTAGGGTTGACAGAGATCTCTTAAAACATTATTTTATCGAAATCACGTATTTGCAAAATGGCTTTCACGCTCAGTTTTCCTGATACTAATCTTAATTGAAACAACATAGCACTGAAAAAAATATATAAAAACTATTTTACATTTAAGAACGATCAACTTGAAATGAGTGAAGCGCCCAATTTGTTTAGAAGAATATGTTTGGAAGAATGTAGTACAGTTTGAAAATATATATACATATTTATATAACTGAAATTAATAAAAGATAATCATATAGGTATTTTGTTCTATTGTTACAAGATAGCTCGATAACGGAATAACTAGTTAACGGACAGAGGGACAGGGCTGGATTCTCTCTTGCTGATCATGATGCTGATCATGAATATATATAGTCTAAAGAATCGGATATAATTAACAACTTAAAGTACCCTGCAGGGGTATAATAACAGCAATTAAGAAGAAAACAAAAAAAGAGCCTGATCAATCGGAACCACCTCTAAAATATGTATCAATCAATCAAGGTTGATCATCATAACAAATGGGCGGGATAAAAGGTTCTGAGTAAGATAATTTGAGTCATGAAACATAACAGGTCAAAAAATGTGACAAAGGTAAATTAAGCACGTTGCTTCGGGGATAAAAAGCTTGACAATTTAAAGCCTTTCAGTATTATCGATCTGTAAAATATTTGTAAACAGTCATTTTGCTTTTGCAAAATAATAATTACAATTAAAAGTATGTTTTAATTAAGATGTATAAAATGTAAATGAATTACTGAATAGTCACAGAAAACTAAATGGATTTTTCTTTTCTTATAAAAACTAATAAGTAGTAAGGGTTTCATTCAACTTTTTTTCCTGCTTTCTTCAGGCTTCTCGGAAATCATTGGCTGCTTTCTGGCCCTTCACTTCGCCCTCAAGCACAACAAGTGGAAGTGGCAGTGCGCTGGCGTCTTCAACATCCTAGCTGGAATACTGGGCTGCATGGGTTGGATCTTCACCAGCGCAGACTCCAGTAAGTTGAGCCTAAATAACCCAATTTACAATTGAAGTTCATTAATGTTGTCTATCCCCAGTGGATGCCGACCTGAAGGTTACACTGTGGATGATCATTGCCACCATACCCAAGGCTGCTGTCTCGTGTGCCCAGTCCATGATTCTGGCCTGCATGAACGAGCTGATGCCGGCGAACAAGAAGCAGCTCTATGTCTTCTCCGTGGTCACCTGGGCGCGGGTCTGGCTCCTGTCAGCCCCGTTCTTCAACGTCCTGAGGAAGATTGACACCGCCATGTCACTGACATCATACTGTGTGTTCAGTATCCTGGGTGGAATATGCACTTGTCTGCTCCTCACGCCCAGAACCAGTGTGGCTCCGGTTGTGCCTGCGGTGGAGCCCAGTGACAAGAAGGAGCAGTCCCCGCTGAATGCTCCAGTGTGGACCATTGAATCGGATGTGAATAACACTCGACTGTAGGAGGAGAAAAAAGCTACTCTTTGTTGCCAATTAATAGACAAGTATTTGTATTACTCAGCTAATGAAACATTTTTCTGTGATTAGGTTAAGTGAATTGTTATGCTAAATATTTGCAGCTATGCTATATCGTATAATTTTTACTTCTATTCACCTGTTTATCCGCTGGGCAAGGATGTGTGGGAAATTTTCTCTAATTATTATCTTATCTCTTTGTAAATTTCTTACGAGTTTCTTGTATCTTAATAGCTTAATTTTATTAAAATATGAAGAGCACAAGCATCATGTAGAAAAGCAGATGCAGGAAAATCCAAAACCAGTAGATCCTGAAAGATAAAAACAGGTTTTAATTAATAGAAAGCTACTATTGTGAAAACTTTTAGTTTTGCGGTTCAAAATTGAATTCCTTTAATGTAACCCACCTGGTCACCATAAATTTGTTGGCATCAACGGTGAACTTTTCGCGGTGAAGGTATTTATTTATGCCGATCATGTGGCGTCTAACATAGTCGTCGTAGTCGAGCTCCTCTAGGTTCCAATAGAGCGTGGGATATGTGCCATTATTGATGAGCTCCTTGAAATAAAAGCGACTTTTGTTCTTGAAGATCCATTCGTTCAGTGAAAAGAAGCTGCCTGGAAAAAGACCCATGGTATATCCTTATTTCAGGGGCAATTTCAGAGGGGATTACCTGCCAGACAGGCCTGTCGAAACTTCTTGGCTATGGGCGTGACCAGGCGCTTCTTCTGGGCCAGCAGGAGGGTACGCAGATCCATCAGCAGGGCGGGCACAAAGTGCAGCACCCACACCGCCACTTCGTGCTTCATGGAACTACATCTGTACTTGAAGTTGGGAAACATGATCATTCGCATTGTGGGATAGATGCGGGACCACTTCATGGTGAGTTCCCCCAGACGCTGCCAGGTGATGGGATTGGTCACTCCCGAGGTGGCGTTGCAGATGCTCAAGCTAGGGGAAGAATAGAAGCAAGTACTTCGAAGAGTGGCTAGCTATAGGGATTTACCTGCCCAACTGCGCCTTGCTAACCATCATGATCATGGCGTTGACCACAAAGTCCACTGGTATAATGTCACATATCAAATTCTTGTCTCCAAGGATGCTGCTGATGCCTCCCTTGCCGATCTCCATCATGATCCCGCTGATGGCCTGGATATTGTCGATCCAACCGGGATAGGGCTCTCGATAAGCCGCTGTCACTATCGAGGGTCTCACGATGACGATGGGAATCACGTGCCTATACGCGTTGACTATCTGCTCGGCAATGGACTTGGTAAAGGTGTAGGTGTTGACATGTGGACCTTTTATGTAGTCCGCCAGGCGGTTCAGGTAGTCATCGGGTATCTTCTGCGTGCAGGCGAGGAACTGCCGCCAGTCCACCGGCGGCATCGTTGGGTAGACCTGCTCGTCCACGTACTTGCGACCCGGATTGCAGTAGGCCGTGGAAACGTACAGAAAGCTCTGCAGAATGGCATTCAGATTAATAGCCAGAAAGGGATGAGTTTCTTACGTTCTCCTTACGCGCAGTTGAGCCATCTCCCTGCACAGTTCCAGAAGATTGAAGGTGGCTTGGGAGTTGACGCGGGCCGAGACCTTCAGGCACTCATTGAAGCGCACCTGCAACCCGAAAAACACAACTCAGTGTTCAAGCTGACAGCCCTGCTTCCAGACTTACCGTGGCTGCACTGTGGAAGATTATGTTCACCTCGGCACACAGCACGGCTCTGTCGGACTCATTCAAACCTGTTGGTGGAGGTCTCTGGTGAGCACTTGTGGTTTCATTTGTAATTTCCAGAGTCTTACCGAAGTTGTCGTCTTCAATGTTTCCCGAAAAGTAAAAGATCTTCTTCAGCCGCTCCGGATGCTCGGCCGTCAGACGCTCAAAAATGGGATTCTGGAGGAATCCACGGAATCGTTCCTGCACCGTGACTCCGCCCTTGGGACGGATCAGCATGTATATGCGCTTAATCCGCGGAAAACTCCAGAGCAGCTTCTCCAGCAGCGTCTTGCCCACAAATCCCGTGGCACCTGCAGAAGACCATTTTACTCATTCGATATAATTCGGAGAATCCCTCGACTTTACCCGTTATGAAGACCACCGCATCGTCGTAGATGTCCGGCTGGCAATTCACAATTCCCACTTCAGCGTTGTCCATGGTGTTGCCACTTTGGAGGCACAATCAGTACTGATCGTGGACTCACTTTCCACCAGCAGACAACAAGTTGCTCTGCAAAGAAAGGCCTTGGTCCTCCTGAAACAAGTTTTCCGTGAAAATGCAAGTGGAAAATGCAATTGACCAACGAAAGTAAGCAGCTCTCTCAGACGTAACATTTGCGCACACACCTCTATTACGTCATATATGGATGTGGATGCGGACAAGGCTGGGTTTTTGGTTCATGATCGACATTCGAGTTCATTCAAGAAAATGGAAAAATGCAAGCTGAGTCTGCAAGTCAAGTCAAGTGTGCCAAGTAAATGGAAATATAGCCGTTTTTGGAGAAAATGTAGATAGATGAATATCTATCATCTCATCATCATCATAATTATTATATAGGCAAGTCTCATGTGACATGATTAATCTTCAACTGATCGGGAAAACTAACAAGGGACACTTGATAATCAAATAATTCTTACGTAATATATATTTATAGCACTAAACACGATCAAGGAATTTGCGCAGCTTCAACTAGAGCGCAGATCTGGGCTTTCCAAAAGGTACACGCATTCCGAAGTTGTTTACCTGGCCAATTCATTAGCTTCAATCACGCCAAGTGCCCAGCCCGTCCTCTCCGGCAGACAGTATTCTCCCTTGAATCCCGTACTGATCGCCGTTCGATGTTTGCACAATCGGTTAGGAACGTTGATCCGCTTATTTGGACTGATTTGATTAGCGACGATGTCGTAGGCAGGCACCGATCAGCGGAGCCCTCGCGTTTACCTGGCCAGGTGAGGTGCTAAGCGGTATCGCAGTCATGCTGGAGGGTTGGCGCTCCCAAGACGTGGCTACTAGATTTTGCCGCTAATCCAAGGATGAAGAAGGAGGCACACGGATTTCAAGGATGGCAGCCAAATGCCCGCCGCCACTCGCCCACGCCCCTGGGTCTTGGCCACCTCTCGCACATCTTTACCTGCACCGATCCGGAGGCCAATGAACAGCCTCCGGCCGCTTCCTCCCCCAAAGTAATGAAGGCCCCTGCAAATAGCGACGAAGATGACGTGATTAATCAAATTATGGGGGACTTTGGTCCATGGCAGCTGCGCTCGCTGCTCATCCTGTTTCTCTGCAAGATCCCAGCCGCCTGGTTCATGGCCTGCATCCTGTTCACGGCCCCGGACCTTTATCCAGAGGAGGAGTACACCTGCGACACGAGCTCCTTCGCACCGGCGGACAATTGTACCGTCTCCCTGGACCAGTGCTACGTCATGGTGAACTACGGGGACGCTGGCTACGCCATGCGTCAGTGCCGTAGGTTCCTTTACACCACTGGCTTCCACTCCCTGACCATGGAGTTCGACCTGGTTTGCCTGTGCGACTTCTTCGTGGCCTGGTCCCAGTACTGGCACCTCTTCGGCCTGCTCATCGGAGGCGTGGCCGCCACCAAGCTGATGCGGGTGCTGAGTCCCCGCCAGATTTATTCGGCTGGCATCTGGTGCCTGCTGATGTGCAGCCTCCTGATGGGTCTGGTCAAGGATTTCAGTCTTCACTGTGGATTGCGTTGCCTGGCAGCAATTTCGTGCTGTTTCATGATCACCTCCGGCCACTCCATTTGTAAGTGAGTCTCAAGATGATGTGAGATAATGTAACTGGACCTACTTTATCCTTGCAGTTAGCGACATAACAGCGGGTAAGCACCGACTGGGTGCTCTCCTCCTTTACGACTGCTTCTGGGCCCTGGGCCTGATACTGCTCCCTGGCCTTGCCTCTGGCGCTCCCAGCTGGCAGCACATATATCTGGGCGTGACCCTGTCCCTGCTGGTGATCGTTTTCCTGCTGCCCTGGACTCCGGACTCACCTCGGTGGCAGTTGCAGCACGCCAAGGACACCCAGCTGGCCGTCGAGAGGACAGTGGCAATACTGCTGGAGGCAGCCCGCATGAACGGAGGCATACTCAAGGTCTCGAAGGAGTTGCCCCACCAGCTGGGGCAGCTGAGGGAAAGGATGCAGGAGCAGACGCCCCCGGCTCAGTGGATGGAGTTGTGGATGGGAGACAGAAGGAGCACATTCCGTTTGGTGGCTGTGCACATGGCATTGGCCACGTTCATGGTGGTGAATACGGGGCTGCTGCTTCACGTGCGATCCTTCGGCAGGGAGCACCTGGTGTCCAATACGCTGGCCATGGGCTTAGCCGAAATGCTGGGCTGTCTGCTGGCCCTGCATCTCACTTTTAACCGCCACGATCAGAAGTGGCAGTGGGCGGGAGCATTTGCAATTGTGGTCGGTAGCATCGGCAGCATTTGCTGGTTTCTGGCCGAAGCGGACATGCCCGAGGTGTACGGACTCACGCTGGGATTGCTAATGGCCTCCCTGCCCCAGGCGGCCGTCTCCTGTGCCCAGTCCATGATCCTGGCGTGCCTGAGTGACCTGGTGCCCTCAGAGCAGCGGAGTAGCCTCTCCTTCTCGGCCGTCACCTGGGCAAGAGTGTGGCAGCTGTCCGCCTCCTTTCTCACTCTGCTGCGGCAGGTGAGTCCCGCCCTCTCGCTGTCCGCCTTTTGCCTGCTGGTCATCCTGGGTGGCCTCTGCACCTGTTGTCTGGCCACTCCGGTAGGTGACCGGGAACCTGAAGGAGGGGCGTTGCCCAAGAAGCAACAGCTTATTACGTATACGTAATAGTACTTATGTTTGTAAGGTTTTCTAAGTTAGTTTTAGTGTCTCTCAAGTATTCGCGATCAGTATTCGAATTTAGCTCGTTACAAAATTGAAAATGTTTATTATACTAAATTGCATACTTTTAGGAATAAATCAAAAGTAAAGCTGAAGCACCTAAAATATAGATATTCCCTTTCCACACCCTGTAGAAATAAATCGTTGAACCACCTTGGACATACATAGGTACATCCTTATTTGACCTTTTGATATGATGATTGTGAATCTTTTAAAAAAATGTTACAAATTTTGATTGAAATATTTGCTGCGGATTACTTATTATATAAATTGAACAAAATTATTGCAACTAAAATTAGAAAATAATAAACATTCTACATTATTAATAGTTAATAATATAGTAACACAAAATTTACATTCGTATTTGACTATAACTTTTAAGTTCCAACCAGTTGGGATAATTGTTTTTTTTTTTAAGACTGATTGTAATGGTGGCCTGTGAACCTTATATCTCTCTTGAAGTATCTAATATTTCTTTGAACCCTAAACACTGAGCGATTTCTGTGATACGTTATCAGACCAATTTCTAATAACAATATGCTTTTGCATAATTTCCTTTTTTAAAATTGCAAACACATTATTTATGACAAATGCATAAACTTTTCCAACACGTAATCATTACAATTATATTTTAATATAGCTGATTTAAATATGCAAATTAAGTGGAAATACAACGAGGCTTTTACCTGTCCCATTAATTTTTACTGACGCTAAATCCACTTGGGACCAGTGTTCGTCCGCCCACCCAGCCAATTCATCCACTAAGCTGACACACATTTGCAGGTAGTACATATAATAAGCACACATGCCTGACTAAATATCCAAGCGCATTGCTCTACTAGCCACATATTGCTATTTGGTCACCTGTCCCTCCCCAATATCCCATCCTCCCTGCATTGCCCTCAAAGCGAAGCGCAGAAATCGCAAATCAATAAAATAGAAGCCATAGAATATATGCAGAAGCAGCGACACTGCACTGGGCCACCGGTGTGAATCATTCGCGGAGCAGCACTTGGCGTGGTAGGACGATCCGAGGAGAAGCTTTGCATCCATCTGGATGCCATGAAATCGAAGAAATCGGCCTTTGCCAACACGTCCACTGGATACGGCAGGCACAAGCACAGCGGACACGGGCACGGAAAGGGACACTCACACGGTCAGGGTGGACAGTCCAACAAGGACAAACCCGAGGGCTCAGGCAAGGGCAAGTCCCCGGATCACCATGAGCAGAAGGAGGAGGATAAGGATTTGAATTCCGGGTTCGGCGACTATCTTCGCACACCGGAGGGTCTGTAATTGCTTGCCTCGACAAAGACTTGCTTTATTCCAATAAAACCCCACGTTTCCCCTAGCATTTGAAATGATGAAGCTGTTTGTCTTCGCAAATACAATAATGTTAATTGTCACGATGGCCTGGCCGCATATCAAGGAACAGTTCTACATGGTTAATCAGTGGTTGGAAAGCTTCCGCGAAGACCACAAGCAGTAGAGGCCAAGAATCCAGCAAAAGACCAACAGTTTAGCAACAATTTAGCTTAAAGACTATACAAAATGGTTGGACCCTTTGTGCAGGGTCTGTTTTTGATCGGCATCATCTACTGGTACTCCAAGGGGATGATGTCGATGATCAACGACTACTACCGCTCCGAGTTTCAGCGCAAGTTGCAGACGGAATCGGCGCCGCAGACCAAGGCTGAGGTTCCCGTCAATGTGGACAACTTCATGGATTACGTCAGGCAGTTGGACCCCCCCGACGAGATGGAGGCGAGCTATACTCCAAGGGAGGGATCTATATCACCGATTGTAGGAAAGGCTTATAGCCATACACTCCTACGCTTTTTGGAGATCACCGGCACTTTGCCAGCCATTGATGTTTGCCTTAACTTGAGCAGCATAAGGTAGATTATAGAGTTACCTATACTAAAGTTAATTTATTAAGTGTATTTTATATGACTTTCGTATAATGAATATTCATAAAACACTATCTCTGCATACTTCTGGGGCTTCATTTTATTAATGTGGAACTTTAATTAACATCCCATTAACCAGTTTTTACAAAAAAGTCCATGTCAAAATTTTTGTCCAACTTGGGTTTATTGATTTTTTATTTAAACTTTAGCAGAATATATTCATATATTTCCAGCTTCAGCCGGCTTTCCACTTACTAACCTATTCACAAAACTGTATAGACATACTAAATTCTACAAATACCATGGAGTATATATCTGTTTGGTCTGTCCCATGCACTCTTCAAACTCTTTCCAAGTAGTAAGCTCTCTAAACATGAAGGTCTGGTCATTGCAAGTTACACATTTGAAGCTGCGTGTGAAAATATATATATAGGCGATATGATAGTTGTAGTATAGGAAGGTAGTAATGGTAGGTTATGGTCTACAAATCAATTTCTGTATTCAGGTATTCATTATTTTGGCACAATTCAGTTGAATTTCCTGCGGTAGTTATATTTTTTGATTCAAAGAAGACTTGATCTTCATCTTTAGTTTCAATTCATGTAAGAGATCCACATGTTTAGCTTGCCCCGCCTATTTAAATGTTGGTCTAGGGATCGATATATCGACACTGACTCGATATTTTACGACTTTTCCTCTCGATAATATAAACTTTTACAAACAAAGACAGAAACTCTTCTGGTAAAATCATACTCATAATTTTTTAATGTACATATATTCTATTCCAATTAATGTAAGAGATCCACATGTTTAGCTTGCCCCGCCTATTCAAATGTTGGTCTAGGGATCGATATATCGATACTGACTCGATATTTGACGACTTTTCCTCTCGATAATATAATCTTTAACAAACAAAGACAGCAACTCTTCTGGTAAAATCATACTCATAATTTTTTAATGTATATTCTATATACACAACAATGCTTCATACATACAGATTTATTATTAAATAAAATAATAATAGTTGCATTACAAATTAATAAAGCAGGAATACAAAATATACAGTACATCGTAATTCAAAATGATAATAAACGTACTTGGTGATTTAAATAAATCAAACGAATACATTGGAAATAGTTCTGTGTCAGCCCGAATTCAGAATGGAGCCGCGACGTGCGTGCTCACGCCTTTAACGAAATCATAATATTAATTAGGGAAATCACAATGAAATTTCGATGAATATGTCAACCAAATCGACGCTGGCCACGGACAGCGTTTGCAAAACAAAATTAAGGAAACACAAACCTTTCTGATGTATCACAACCTTTCAAACAAGGATTAACAATTGAGAGCTCGCTCGGCTTGGGCGCCGACAAATCCAATTTCGACAATTGAGTTACGGTGGCCTACTACAGACTATGTATATATATGCATGTGGATATCGCTTGATAAATGTTATATGGCTAAACTCGTACAAATTAGATTGCTTATGGACAAGGCAAAATACAAATGCAGAATACAAACGAGGCTCTTCGCTCTACAACGCACAACGTCTCCTCTGTTAACCGCAAGGATCAGCTAAATATATATATATATTACTGTGCGTTCAAGTCTTAACGAGTAAACAGTAACACCTAGTGACTCTGACTCCCTCCCTTCTCTGACTCCCTCCCTAGTCCGAGAGCTTGCGATTTGTGGGAGGCGGCGGTGCTGGCACCGTTGGCCTCTTGGGCGTTTGAAATGAGTTCGGCGAGATGGGCGTCGTAGCCTGGGGCTGCTGTTGTACCTCCGCAACTGCCGACGGCTGGGCCTCGCAGTTGTGGTTGCCCTCTTTGGCCGCCGGCACCTCCTCCCGCGTTCCGTTCGTGTCACTGGTCTCCTGCCGCAGTTTGTCCAGGAAGTTTTCCGTTTTGTAGCGGACACAGCCATTGCCATTATCGATTAACGCCTGGGTGGGCGTTATGGCACCCTCGTCGTCGCTCTTCCCATCCACCTTGACCCCGCCCACGCCCAGGACCACCGGCCTCTTAGGCAGCTGCGGTTTCTGCGGCACATCCGGCTTCAACTTGAAGCTACCTATGCTATCGGTGCTTTTGCGATCGGCCGTGGGCGAGGGTAGGTTGTCCAGGCCAAAGAACTGTGTCCTTGTCATCGGCACAGGCTTGGCGGGTGTCACAGGTGGCGGGGGCAGTGGCTCGAGCTGCGTTTGCGTCGGCGCGCTGACGGCGATCGACTGAAACTGCGGCAGATTCGGCAGCGGCGGCTTGGCAGGTTTCTCCTGCTGCTTCTCCGCCGGCGGCTGTTGCTGCGGGAATAGTTCCTTGGCGTGCGGACGATGCGACGTTTGTGATGTGGTCATGATGTTCGTTCCATTGCCATTGGTGGTTGGCGGCGACGGAGCATTGGCTTTCTGACGCCTCAAGGTGCCGTAGCGAGGACTCTCCAGGACTTCTGCAAGGGATGGCCCAGGAAATATTAGGTAATGAATTAAGTGAGGGCAAAAGGGTGGGTCAGTAGACGAGCTTGTGAAGTACAAATTGAAACCGGATGAGGTGATAAATTCTCCCATTGGCAGAAACCACATCCAGGCAGACTTCGCAAATAACAGGTGACCGTTTTTTCCATTCGTTAGTCGATTCATTTCTCTTAATATCACTGGACAGAGAGCGATTTGATTGTGCGCTCTTGAAGTTAAGATGAGAAAGAACAAATTGGTTTAAAGATGATCACGTATTCTCTTAAATGAGGCATATTTTGGGTCAGTTATTTACGAACTCTGCTTCCAGGAATAGTTTTGATAAATTCAACTTCAAATTTTATTATTGCACAAAACGTATCGAATTATAAGGCACTAGGTTTAATAGCAACATTAACTAAAAGCTTAAAGCGCAGGGAATACTATGACATTAGGGGGCTTCCCCTATTTTTCGTTTTTGGAAATGTAAATAAGCTTTAGCAAGGAGACTTGGAAATTCACAAGTCGAATACTGTGTTGGGCAGGTACTCTCTGGAGCTAAAGAACTCCGACTGTGCAGTATACTTACCGCTGTCGTTTCTGTCCAGATTCTCGTTGGAGGAGTTGGACTTGCTCTTGCCTTCGACAAAGAGTCTTTGCCTTTGCAGCGTCAGATAGAACTCGACGTCGCCAGTGAAGAAATAGTCCCACTGGCTGATCAGCAGCTCCACGATTATATTGGCCGCAGAGGAACTGTTCACCTGGCCGATGTAGTCGGCCGGGGCATTGCTGCTCTTGTCGATGCGCGGCCAGAGCATGTTCGGCGACATGACGATGGCCAGGTTCTGGGAGCTCATCTTGTTGTGCACAGAGCGTTGCTGGACGTGGGCCAGGAAGCGGGTGAGGTAGCGCAGGTTGGCATAGTTTTCCTTGGGCAGCTTGCCCAGAATGGCCTTGATTTCCGTCTTGCGCTCGGACTCGCTGTTTCTCTCGGCGATCCGGATGAAGTCCTTGTACAGGCCGTAGGTCAACAGCGGCTCGGGCAGCTCGCGCAGGTAGAGCTTGAGTATGGACCCGATGACATGGGGGTCCTGGTAGTCCAGCGGCAACGGCGTCTTCACGTGCTGCGCCTCCAGGGCGTGCTTCATGCGACGCAGCTTGGTGCTGGCACAGCCCACGCGCAGCAGACCCTCCTCCTCTAGGCCGTGCTCCAGCAGGCAGCAACAGCAGAGCTCGACGATGTAAGAGATCTCGCGGTTGGTGGATGTCAGATGCTCCTTGAGCGAAGTGCCGAAGCGGGACTTCTCCGTGCCCTGGATGGTGTCCTGGATGCGGGCCAGCGAGGCGTTCACATGCTGCAGCGCCCGCTCGTGGTAGTTTCTTTGGTTAAGCACGTAGTCGCGAATGCAGCTTACGATCTCGTCCTCTTTGGCTATCAGCTCCAGCATCTGGGCCGCCCAGGCATCCCGCTCCTTCTCCAGCTTCAGCTCGCATTCCTCCTGCTGGCTCTTGATGTGGTTCACCTTGGATGCGGGCTCCTCCAGCCGGATTGCCGCCTGCGGGAGAACGGGAGAACAGAACACTGATTAGTGAATGACAGATAAGCGACGGCCGTGCCGGGAAAATCGTCACATTCCGAAAAGCCCAAAGTTCAAGCACGCGAAATATCTTATCTCCGGCAACACCCACTACTGAAAATAGTTCTCCCAATGACTAAGGGGAGGAGTTGCCGGATGGATAGTTTGCGGCCATCTCAAAATAGAACGACCTAAAACACAGCCTGCCCGCCCAGCTGCTACACCTCCCATCAAGGCCTTTGTTTCGAGCCGGACAATGGGTGAAATATGGGATTCAGAAAGCACACGCGCATTGCATTGGGGCCACTGACTACGGTGACACCGCTTTTGACTCACAAAGGAGTTTATAAAACAGTGTTCCGATAAGAAATGCTATTGAACTATGCGAAAGAGCGTTTAAGATTAAAAGCGAGGGAATTGTGGGAAACGAACAAACGTATCTGTGCATCTAAATATATCAGGCATTGAAAAAACTATTAGCCTTGATCTTCGAGAGAAAAATAAATAAACAATCGGTTGTCAGATTCTGGCTAATACATTTCCTCTTTTAACATGGCAAATTCACTAAATCCAGTACTATAAATATAGTTACAAGTTTTGCTTACAACAGCATTGCCAGCTGTTTGCTGTGTGCAAACAAATTGCTGCTGGCATTCATCACCATCTTCGTCCGTATCATAGTGCAGCTAAAAATAAACAAATCGTGACAAAACGCCGAGCTACGACGACAATATCTCCGCCACCGAGAAGACAATGGCAGCCAGCTCATTATCAATTTCTACTCCTGCCCTCGCGAATCGAATTGAATAGTTCGAGACTGCGGCTCTGACTCACATCATCATTTCCATGAGCCGCCGCAACCTCTCGGTGACCTACATCACACTACAAGTGGCACATTCCGGGCACCAAAGTTAGCACTTCCAAAGGCAGCCCCGTGTGCATATACGTATTGTTTTCGGATCGGATCCGTGTCAGGGAGTGCATTAGAACAGAGCACCAAACACGAGAGCCCCTGATTAGCGAATTATGGCAAGCTGACGGCGATAAGATTA